TCTGACAATCAAATATAACCTATATAAATAAACTTTATCATTCTGTTAACGATAAAAAATTATTTGAATGTAAAATATGGAGATATCGAACAGTACTCAGCACATAGACCCATTCAAACAATTAAATCAGGAACAGAGCAAACACAGACCTCTTACACATCAGAGGTGGGATCAGGTACAATGGAGGAGTGATCATCCCCTGCCAACCAATCAATCACACCCGCCGTGTGCCACTTTTCATGATAAAAAAAATAGGGAACAAAGCCGTAGACAATTCAGTGTTTAAATTCTGTTCAAACAATTATTAACATAAGTGTCTGTTAGGATGCATTTTAAATTACAGTGCGTTTTCATAAAACTTTCTTTTACGTTTAGATATCAAAATGGTATTTGAAAATGCTATAAGACAACAAGAATTCCTTTTTTCTAAGATTATCAAATTGCATGAAAAAATTATCAACCAAGGATTATAGATAACACCTTCTTTTCTGAGGACTTCTACAATGTATTTGACTTTGAACAGTGCTTCAATTACTTTGCCATCCTTTTGCTAGAAGATATGTGTAACTTGTTTCTTCTTTTCTCAAGTGTATTTTAATTTATGTCACTCTCCTTTAACTGAATGTATCTTTTTTCTGAAAGAAAAAGAAAATATGAGAATAAATTTATTTTTTCAGCTTTTAAAAGTATGCATTCTAAATTAAAGCCAATATATATGAAGAAAATAACCAATTTTTTGTATTAGTTTTATATCAACGTTGAATCAGAAGGATTGTGTGTGTGGGTAAGGGAGAGGGTGTGTGTGTTTGGTCAACTTAGGGTTATCAACTTTCCGTCAAAATGATATAATATATATCGTTTTGTTTCTTTAATAAATATATTACAATAAGTGGTTTTGAAATTGAACTTTTTTGGTAAATACAACTTTTACAGATTGCCAATATATTGCTGAAATAGTGCAGAGTCGACGTAAAACATTAATCAAACAATCAATATATCAATCAATAGAATAAAGAGTTACGTTCCTGTTAACTTTTTGAATGTCATAACCGAATACCTTTCTTCTTTAGATAAGCCATAAGGAGTGTTTTCTTTGAATCAAGCGTATTTTCTTTCCAAGAATTTTGTTTAATTTTGTTTGTAGTGCATACTTAGCACCACGTGCTCTGTGTAAATACAGCTCCTATTGCACCCCAGCTGGACACCTGTTTTGATTTGGGGTAAGATATTCACAAATTTGTCAGTGTTGACATATAATTTAATCATTGTTCGAATACAATCTGTTAAGTTTGCAGTTAAACGTTTCATATCTGATTTTTTATTCATATTATGTAATTTTTTTAATGGATTAGTATTTGTATTGTTTAAATGCTTGAAGGCTTCCATGCAATCGTCTGCCTGAAATTGGATACATACCCTGCATTAATGCAACATATCTAGGTCGCCTAGTTTTTCGATTTTTCGACGCTCTCTCAAACTTCAATGAACAAATTTATCGTTTACCTGTAAATTTTGAAGTCTTTTAACATGTATTATTTGTTACAATTTAAATTTTAACGGTGTTTAAGCTATTGGTCAACATAAGTATATATTTCTATAATTAAACGAGGGGTTATCAAAAGGTTTGTGGACTGAGGCTATAAAATTAGCATTATATAGTTTGTGCTTTGGAAAGTTCTAAGGAACATAAAACAACAAAAAATAAAGAAATGTTGAAAATTTTAGCTTGATACGTTCATTATCTGCAGAATTATTATAAAATGAAAACGATATTATATGATCACCTGGCGCCGTCGTCGTTCAGTTTAATGACGTCCGACAACGTCATTGTTTTGCAGTGTTGCTCTACCTCATACATTAATTTTGGTGAGATTCCCTGGAGCTGAGTAAGGACCTAAACCCGTCTTGTTTATATGGCATCACAATGTCATGAACATCAGCTTTCAATGCATATAATATTGCAAATGGATTTAAACCTTGGGGAGAGACCCTTCCTTGATTTTGCCAGCATATTTTGCTTTTTGGAGTTTAATATCTACAACACATGATCAACGTCATTTTTGACGTGATTGATTTTTCACACCTTGACTACAAATCGACATTAACTATGCATCTTTTTTCTTTCTGAATTTCTTTTGGCATCAAAAAACAAGTACCCTTGATGCATTTTATTTCCAAGTAGTCAGTTTAAACATTTTCTAGATCTTTACCAGTTTTTTTTTCAGGGGCAAATCCTTATAGAATGTTCGGAAAGGAAACCCCTCCTCCTTTTTCACGTCATTTTCAAGGCCTTACTTGTTTGGACACTCCTTATAGAATTTAAAATAAAATTTTATAGAACTTCCAGAACTCCGTAGTTTTTAATCAAACACATACCTGAATTAACGGGGTTTTTGAATGTCAAATGTTCATATAAAAAGAGTTTTTATCAGTTACACCCAGGTCGAAAAAATGTTCATGTTCGAGGTTGCGCCGCCTGGACCTACCATTGCTTGCAAAAACATAACTAACTTATCAAAAAAAAATAAAATTTATGATTTGTGGTTTATTCTATGGAGAGAAAAGATTATGTTTACTAGATATTTTAAAATTCAAGGATGTAACTAAAGCGGCTTTAGTGTTATATAGCTAGTCCACGAACTTTTTGATACCCATCGTACATTTAAAAAGTCCACTCATCTACGAAAAATGTAAAAAAAAAAAAAAAAAAAAAAAAAAAAAGCATCGCATTGCTGTTTGTCAATTTCTATTTTTATTTGAATACCTGTTGGAATTACCTGTCGTAAAAACAAATTCATGCCCTGTTATTCTTCATCAACAAATTGATAAGGAAAGATTTTTAATAAGTAAAATAAAGTTAAAATTTCTGAAGTACCAAATATAATATGATCATTTAAATACTAGTATACTGTAGAAGTAAAAAAATATTAATTTATAAACTATTATATAAAGTCTTCGTAGAAAAGGATATAAAACGTAAGTTCCCGATTGGTAAACACTAATATCTTATCATTTGCAAACACAATATCACCGAATGCACAAATTTAAGATAAGGTACAGTAGATAATTACTGTATATTAAATGTGTCTTACTAAAATACAAGTGCTCAAAATATATTGCGAAGAATAGTTTACACATGCAGTTAGATTAATGTTCAAATTGTAAATTTACTGCAATTAGTTTTAACAAGAACCTTTTAATTTTTGTATGCAGTATATATTCTACTAAACTATGACACATTGTCATTTTGCATTTATTTTTTTAAAAAAAGTCAAAAAAATCTTTATTTTCATTTTCTACACTTAGTGCCCAACCGGTTTCTTAGTAGATGTCCTCTTTACTGCTAAAGAATCTGCTAGGAATAAAAAAAAATACATTTAAGTTTTTGAAAAAAAAATTGGGTTAACGATGAAATCAAAATGAATATGAAGACTTTAAAATAACATATGTAAATTATATACACTTTATTTCCCGCTTTATGGTACCATTTATCCTAGTTTTGCTTATTACACTGAATTCAAAGTATTTTTCTATTACTTAAAGTCAGCATTTCATAAATTTTATGGTCGATATAATGATATTAATTCACACTGAATTTACTACGAAAAGTTTCGTCTAATTGATCAATATGTATGATTCATGGCAAGTGTGACGGGTCAACAGGGTAAGCTTTATCCTCCTAGGCACCTGATCCCACGTTTAGAATCTCTGAGGCCCGGTTTTTATGCCCTCTACATATATTTTTATTGTTTATGGTTTACACATCGAGCACTGATCGTTATCTTTACCTTTCGTAAAAATGAATGTTTTTCTTTAATTAATTTTAGGATTAAACTAATCAAATACTTAAAATAATAAAGATAATTACTTTTCTCTTACATGTATGTAAATGCTTCTACTGTTTGCCTCCTACTGAGACAAGTTTTATATTTATATTATAACGATTTTACTTAGTTTTTCAGGAAAACGCAATGATATTGACAAGTTTAGTATGTGCGTTCCTGATGACTATAAAACTTCAAGGACTGGTCAATGGAGTCTTTTTTGAAAAAGAACTTGCAATTGGAGGTTTGAATTTCTATTACCCGGGTATTCAATTTAATGTTACTTTAAGGTAGGAGTTTTCTCTGATTTCTGACTGGATGACATATTCAGAGTAAATTTGCTTATATGTCTTATATCTTTAGGTGTAAGAGATTTAAAAGACCATATTTTTCTTTCCTCATCACAATTGTACAACTTTAAATAGAAATGGTAAACCGCGTATGAAAACTAGCAGGGGCTATGCTTTTGGCGGAATGGTTGCAAATGAAAATATCTTCTTTTCTACCTCTCAAAATTATTATGGAACAGTGAATTTAGTTATGATTTTTACACAATCAAAGAACTTTCAAATGTAAATTAAACTAAAAATAAGGGACTAAAGATCCTAAATATATCATATAAACATGATTTTTTAAAAACAAACTAGAATTATGTTAGCTCTTATATGCTTCCGATCGGAGTACAGATTTGAGCCAAAAATCCGTAAAAATTATTTTTTCTCTCTTAGTAAACGGTTTTTTTTTCCTCGTAGGAAACCTTTACAACTTTTTGGTTCTGTAGCATTTTGTATCGTTGTGTGACAACTCTACCATATGTGAAAATGAGAAAAATTTAAATATAGGAAGCGTATAAAAATAAGTAATATAGCCTAAAAATTTAAGGAAAGTAGAGAAAATTCGGATTAGCCAACATCCATTTCAGTAACATTATTTATGTCACTTTTGTAATATCATCTTATGGTAGTATCTTTTTATGCAAAAAGAAAAACATTCAATCTTTTGAAAGTTTTTATTTCCCAAAACATTTGTTTAAGAACTCAGCGGGAAAAAAGTTTAGACCTCATTAGCAAATCTTAAATACATTAAAAAAGATCATATAGAATACCGTGTATTTACCAGCTAGTAGAAACAAAAAATGTTTTGTGAATAATTTGATAAATGAATATTTTTAGAAATAACTCCAATGAATCCCGTAGTATTAGTGAATGGTATTTTGGAGCTAAACTGCACTGTATTTACTAATTCGGGATTGAATGCCTCTATGTTATTTTGGGAAAAAAATGGAACAAGATTGATGGAAGATTCAATGATTCCTGCTGGGGAACGAACTTTGTTATTTAAGAAAAACATAACAAGTGTCGAGGAGGAAGGAACGTATACCTGCAGGAGTATCGATAGTCGTGATATTTCTCATTCTTCTCTGGTAGTTGAATGTAAGTCTGATTTATTTATTTATAGTTTCATTAATAGTTTCATTAGTTCCTTAAATAAACTTTTATAAATATTTCGATATAGATTTATAAGATAGTAAGACGCTAATAAGATTACATGTAGTAGCAGAGAAAATAGGAATTTGAATGTTTTAAGCTTTATCTGACATTTCTCACATTACGAATATATAAACCCAGAGACAAAAATGTGTGTTTTCAACAGATGATGCGGTACGCGATGTAACGAATTTTTCATGTATCCTTTACAAAAGTCGAGATGAGTTCACATGTACCTGGGAACTAGGACTTTACCACCATCCTGCATACCTTAACGTTACTGCAAGAGTGTAAGTTGAGAATCAGGATGCATGTACATAAATTCATATCACATTAAGTTTTTTTTATTTAGCATGAAAGACATAACATTTGATTTTTTTCATTCATAAAAAACTTGAAATTCAATAAGTTTTTAAATCAAATCTACGACAGAATAATTTAGCTCTTGATAAAAATGAATTCTTGACAACAGTGTTTGGTCATTATCTTGTTACTGTATATTTTTTATTTTGTTTTCACAGAAAAAGATATGAATATCAAATCATAATTTTCATTTACTCATATGAAAAATAACATAGGTCAATGGACAACGGATCTAGCTTGAAATCTTGTCAACAAAATGTCAAACAGAAATACATACGGACTTCAGATTTTTTGTATATAATCTCGTTGATGAACATTTTACTTTGTTATAACATGATCATGGATTCCTTTCATTAGTAAAGAATAATATAAATATTTAAGTGTCATTTATTCAAATGAAAAACATTATAGATCTATGGACAACGGATCCAGCTGGAAATTTTGTCAATCAAATGTCAAAGGGAAATGTACATGGACGTCGGATGATGGTGCCATTAATTCTGTCTCAAAGATAGTCATTCTTAAAGTTGAAAACCGAAAGTATGGCGTCATCAAGTCATTTAGGAAAGATTATATTACACGTCACATAAGCAAGTATTACCATTATTTGCAAGCGTAAATGAATTGACTTTTCCATGATCTTCTGCTATATAGAATAATTATGTTAAGGCGTTAAAGTATTGAATTGTAAAGTTTTTCCATTTTTACTTCCTGATTCATTTGCAACTGTCCATTTTAGCAAAGTATGGACCTACAAAATTAATTGACACCTCGAATCTTGACTCTGGGGAATGTGATTGTGCCTCCATTTCCTTAAGGCACTTCCGGCGTTAAAGTATTGAATTTTGAAGTTTTTTTTTCATTTTTACTTCCTGATATTTGCAAACTATCCATTTTAGCAAAGTATAATAGACCTACAAAATTAATTGACACCCTACATACGTTCAATTCTGTGTGAATTTCATTTGGGGGTCCGGGGAATGTATATTTTGACCAAACAACTTCTACCTCCATTTCCTGGGAAGGCATTTCTGGTATTCGTTTCAAATGTAAATATAAGTAATAAACAACCATGTTAAAAAATTCACGTGGATTTGATCACCAACTAAAAGTTCATTTCCCAGAGAATTTTTTAACATTGTTGTTTATTTCTTAACGTAGAACCTACTTCGTATGACATCATAACTTGTAAATGTGTTAAACCTGTGCTAACCCATTAAGACGTCATAATTAATTCAATGCCACTTTTTCCCGTACTTGACAGCTTCAATAAAAATGGTAGAAAATACTGCATTTTGAAATTCACAGAATTCAATCATGCCAGGTTTATAATGCTTAATGGCAATATATTTCTGGAATAAGAGAAAATATGTAGGCACCTTATATTTACTAGAGAAACCCAAGACTATAATGAAATTACAATGCCAACTTTCGTAATAATTTGAATGGTCCATTTTGAATGCATAAATCGGAAACAGGTGATATCTTGATGAAATGTGTCTAAGGATATACGTGTTGTACATTTTTGTGATATTTATAGTCTGAATATTTTCTTTTGGCTATCGAAACTATATAGAGCCGTATTTATACAGACAAAGAATGATAATAGTGACCAAAACTGTGTAAATATCATTTCCTCTAAATAATAAAAAAGAAATTATTCTTGATAAAATATTGTTTAATATTATTCAGTTAAAAAAGTTTATAAACGACGATGTTTGAAGTATTTTTGTGATTTTAATATTGAGACTAAAAATATTAAAATGTGACTGTTCTATCATTTTTATGTAAACTTAAATTATCATTTTGAAAAGTTAAAATCTTGAAGGCAAAAAAATGTTACAAAAGAATGTTACTCTATAACAGGTACAACATTGAAAAGCTCAATTACCTGTGCTACATGCTAATTTCTGAAACGTGCGGCATATTTTTATTAATGTACAGTTAACTGATGTGGATCTAAACACAAGTATTGTTGTGTGCGGTCTCGTGCCAGCATCTACCTATAATGTCAAAGTTCAAATAAAACCATTAAAAGGACTGTACTACAGTGACGTTACCCAAAAATTATTTACAACGTGTTCAAGAGGTAAATTCTGAATTTCATTTCTAATAATCAATTGAAGAATACAAACATTTATATTTATTTATTAAATGAGAAAAATTAAAAGTCTAATTCCTTTCCTGTATGAGTAGAACCATCGAAAGGTCCTTCAGTTCACAGCAGTGGGTATTCGACCGATATATGCCACGATTGGACATCTCGTCGCAAGGTCACTGTCTATTGGAAGGTAAGATAGTGGTGCTTTTAAAAATATACATAAACCTATTTATACAATGATAAGGTCAATGATATTTATGTTTTATAAATGTTTTGATTTAGGGAATTCCAAGAAAATACCAAAATGGTAAATTGACAGGCTATACCATTTCATTTCAAAACAACACTGTTCATCTTGACAGTGAAAGGCTGACTGGGGAAATAGAAATTCCATGTAAAAACAGCAGCATGCTAAGCATAAAGGGTTGCAATAAAGACGGCTGTTCTCTTGAATCAAAAATACTCATTCCACCATATACAGGTAATCAAGCAAAGACATGTTTTGAGACAATAATTGCAAAAAAATTAATTTTTATAAATTTATTCTTCACATGCATTGTCAGCTACGAATTTCAATTTAAGGTCCAGTTAAATGTTACATGTTTCTCACGTCCATCCAAAAACATTTTATCATTTTGTTTTACTCTGAAAATCTTTATTTCAAAGAGTTATCTCTACTTGCGGTTATATTGTTCAATGGCCTTCAAACATTATATAATTAAAACAAGGCCTGACAAGGCAAGGCATGACAAATTTATCAATAATATTTGGTGTATATTTTATTGGAGTATATCAAACTACTAGTATATAAATATCACTTAAACCTATTTTTGAATGTTTTTAATTCTTTAACGATCAAGGAAAAAAAATACGTGAAGAGGCCAGTACGTATAACAATTAGCTAGTTAGTCATATAAAAACTCAATATACAGAAAAAATATAAATTAGCAAATATAATATACCCGAGGAATCGAGGAAATCAACATTCCTCTCTTACAGCTTTATTTGAAGCATTCATTTATTTTCACACTGAGTTGTCTTTGATTTTTTCCGTTATTTCCCAATTTTGACAAGGAGCACACAGCGGGTGTGACCGGTTGGCAGGGTATGCTCACTCCTCCATGCCACCTGACCCAACCTTTGATGTTTTGGAAGTCCTTGTTTGCTCCGCTCCTATTTTGTAATGTTATCCATTATAGATGTAATTCTGCCCTCCAAAGTAATTGTGGAACATCGAAATACTTCATGTGTAGACGTAACTTGGTTTCACAGAGGAGGACAAGTTGCCGTAGACATAGTGTGGTGTAAAAGAAAATCTGGCTCGCTTCAATGTCAGGTAAACTAGTTCAAATTACTACTTTAGTAATACTGTAGCTAAAAAAAATCATCATTATTTCTTAATTAATGAGGTAAAAATGAAGTAACTTAAATAATTTAGTTTTTTGTGTACTTAAGGGTGAGATCAATTTTATGAGATTGAATGGAACATATAACTTCACCTCTATATCGTCTGAAAATATCAAAAGCGAATTTGATGATGTCATCTTTGGTGTGGCTATTATAAATATAAAAAAAATAAGTGGCGGTATTAAGTGGCAGGATGCATGCAGCTACCAAAAGAATTTAGGTAAAATCTTTCATTTTGTTTTAGTTTTATCAATATCTGTTTTTGTTAGAAGGTCAACAATCTTTCTAGATCATCTGAGTCACTTAAAAAGTAATTTACAGTAGCGTATATTCATGATTGTACAAATAATGACTTTTGGAGGTGTAAATCATGAATTTTGGAGGTAAGGTGGGACCATAATAGAAATAAAACTTATAAGAAATAATGTAAATGGGGGGTACTAATTGGAACTTAATTTATATGTTTTAACTGAATTCTAGATTATTTCGATAATCCATATCATCCTATTTCTCTTGCTTTTTGCCAAAAAGGTTTATCCTTTCAGTTTTTAATACTCTATGGATCCTCTGTGCATTGTTATTTTACACTCAGGTAATCGTTTAGGGTCTTGTTTTAATTCAAATTAAATTAGAATACTTTGTACAGTTGATTATAATATATGACATCTACACTTATTACTACTTGATAAAGTGTACATTATAAGTTTTAATCGAACCATTCATATAATTTTGAATAGCTACGAACAATCAGTTGATCATTGTAGAAGATTTAAAATGCAATTAGAAATGATCGATTTCTCTATTTAAAAAAAAAGACATTAGAAAGCAAAATGGCAAATCATTGAATAATTTATGTGTATAATAAAAAGAGGAATACGTTATCATTTTACAACCATTTTACAAATCCCGCGGATATTTCTAATGAAGCTTTATACGAACAAATAAAGAATGACTCATAAAATGACTGATTTTCTTGAAATTCCACGGAATTGACAAATTAATGATATTATTCCAATTTTCACAGAACCAAAGAAAGTAACAGGCGTCAGGCTTCTCCCAGACGCTCCAGAAAACAGCTTGGTTATATCATGGTCCCCTGTACTGTGTGATGCCTCAGATATAAACAATGTTTACGTTCACTCCTATGAAATCATTTTCTGTCGACTGGATTCCCTGAACCATTGCAATGGTAAATAAAAATATCTAAACTTTATCCAGAGAAAATGCCACTAACATGTAGAAAATATGGGTAAATCAGCAGATGAAGTTTATAACAAATTGAATTGTCAGCTAACAATGCTGGATCACATGATTATTTTCTACCATCATGTTTTTGAATAGTGTAAGAAAGTGTACGAGTACTGAAATGTAGCTTAAAGGTTAATCGTTCCTCAAAATCTGTTATGTATATCTTCGTAATGTATGAAAAATTTTTCAAAATTTTAATAACATTCTGATTTCTAAACCAGTTTCTAAACGTTTTTAAAAGATCCAAACACTTAACATTTGAAATTGGAAAATTATTTTTCTTCCCCAAAGGATTATATAATAATGAAAAACTAAATGATTGAATAGTGGAGAAATGCCTGGTAAGGTACCTAAATTTTTTTTGATTAAACATGTTTAAGTAGCAATACTTCAATGACAAACTCTTAGAAAAATTTATCTATTATTGAAAAACGTCTCGTCTGTCCTTAAAGGTTAATCTATACCGTTCAGGTTTTTGAATATTGTTAGATAGTGTAATGAAATGTAGTTAAATGGCTGAATAATGGTAAAATGTGAACTGAAGTGTAGCTAAATGGTTGAATAGTGGTAGAATGTGTACTGAAATGTAGCTAAATGGTTGAATAGTGGAAGAAAGTGACCTGAAATGTAGTTTAATGGTTGAATAGTGGTAGTAAGTGACCTGAAATGTAGCTAAATTGTTGAATTGTGGTAGAAAGTGTACTGAAATGTAGCTAAATGGTTGAATAGTGGTAGAAAGTGTACTGAAATGTAGCTAAATGGTTGAATAGTCACTGTGGTAGAATGTGTACTGAAATGCAGCTAAATGGTTGAATATTGGTAGAATGTGTACTGATATATAGCTAAATGGTTGAATAATGGTAGAAAGTTTACTGAAATGAAGCTAAATGGTTGGTATCTGCCATTTTGTCACTTTTTTAAAGACCTCTTTTTGAAAATTCAGTGGACTAAATGGTAGAATCCCATCCCACAAATTTGACTTCTTGTTACTTATTTGTCATATAAATTTATGTTTCACGAAGAATATAATTTCTATATCAAGTTTTCACTTGTAGTTCTTAAAATTTGATGCATCTGTATTTTTGTACATTTACCATGTTTACATTTCAAACATTTCAGGTGAAAAAAAATCAGTAGAAATTTCAGCAACTAGTTACACGCAATACACTTTAAAGAATCTGCATCCTAATGTTATTCATGGTATTTGGGTGAGGGCGAAGTCTCTAACGAAAGTCGGACCTATAAGTGATATGGTTTCCGGAATACCTGTCAACAACGGTACGAATAGGCCACATTTTATTTTATTTTTTTTTTGACATAGTTCTTCAACTTCATCGATGGGCAGGTTGAAAGCCTGTCCAGCATAACTATAATCTTCATATAAGTTCTAATAAATTTAAGGTTCATTGATACTTTGACAAGACAGATACCGGTAACTTTTATTGACATAAATGTCTATGATTCCTTAATAGATTTGTCAAGTTATATTGTCTTTTTGGTCTAATTTTGCCGTGCAGGTTATGCTATAATTGTTTGTATTTTACTTGTTAAAACATTTCTTTTGGAAAATCGTTCAGGTTCAAGCAACATTTTATATGAGTGAGCAGAGTTTATGAACCTTAAACAGTAATTTTTTAACACCATTTTTTAAAGAAAATAGTATATGTATTCTTTTTTCAGACCTCACTTCCGGTGCTGTAGTAGGCATAATCATTGCTGGAGGTTTCGTTTTGGTTGTAATGCTGGCTGGTGGAGTGTGTATACTGAGGTATTCTTAAGTATATTGTCGTTTGATACCTTTATGAAGAATAAATTTGAGTCCCACAGTAAAATGCAGGAGCCTAATCGGATAAACACATTGTCTGGCTGTCCGCCGGTCCGTCTTGCTGTCCATAAATCCATATACATATTTGTTATAACGGGCTAATAAACTGAAAAAGTTATCAACGCAGAGGTTTTCAAATATTGTACACTTTACGCTATGAGCAAGGCACCTAGCTATCATTTTATTTATCTTTAAATGGGTTTGTCTGTCATGTACGTATATTATATTACATATCCCGGGCCTTTTATTTTGGTATGATATCGCAGGCACTGACGTACATGATTACTCTGGCAACGATATATAATCCTTACGATTCATATACATTATTTTTTCTATATGTTTGTATGCATAAATGTATAGCTGCTTCATAAGTTTCCACTTTCAAGGATTCTTAATATCAAGAGCGGAACGCAATTCTTCGATTTTCAGTGGTACATTTTTAGGGAGGGGGTGGGTGAGGATCGAGTGTTAATCAAATTAATATTCACTGCGGTTTTTATTTTATTTTATTAATTTTTTTTTCGAATTTCATACCGTAAAACAAACAAGTGTTCTGGTTGTGTTACAGTCTTTGAAAAAAATTACTTTAAAATTATTTTTTAATAAATCAAGTTGACCAATGACAAAATTAATTTTATTTATACAATCATCATTTGAGAATTCATGAGTTATCACTTGTAAGAAAGTTTATCACTTTTGTAGAAATGTACGAAGTAAACTTGGTTTAGGCGAAACTTTTCCAATTCACATGCCTGATTTAGAATCTGAGGTGAGTAAATAATTAGAGACATTTATTTGGTAAATTATTGATCAATATAACCCTTTCTTTTGGAGGTTGATATATTTATTACCTTCTTTTCAATTATTTTTAGAAGTCATGTGAGAAATTCCTGAATTCCCCAGCTCCCTACTATGGTAACAAATCTCAAAACTACATTTCTGTAAGTATAAATATGCTATAAGCTGATATACAGATTTATTTTTCAAACTCAGTATATATATATACACTGTATATATACGCATATATATATATTTTTTTATTTTAGATAATTGTTCTAATAAAAGGATAAAGATGAATTAAATAAAAAGTTTGACGTTATTTTTGCTATTGTCAGCTTCCCTAACTTAGGAAGAAATACACCCTAGTCACCTGCATATTGACTTTTTGTCTCCTAGGTGGTTCGATACGCAAAACCATGCTATACAATTACTAAAACGAGGCCTGCTATTCATGAACAAGTTGATGTAACAAAGATGTCAGCCGTTTGTTTAAAGTTATCATTTTGCAAGTTCTATTGTCATGAAAATGACCTTGTCGGCAATTAAAATCCATCATTAAGTCGAATGTTGATGGACCTTTTGAACTAATTGTTTGGCCTTTATTTACCTACGGACATGTCTATGGATATCTCTTTCTTTTATACAAAAAGTTATTTTAGCGTTCAAGGTACCTCAGTCGGTAGAGCGCTTATTGACTGTGATCGGGAGGTCGCCACTGACCGAAGTCGATATAAGTTGATAGCAACTGTTACTACGCCATGCGCTTGACAATTTGAAGTGAAAGTTCTGGGTCCCTCGAATTAGCTGCGGAACATTAGCTCTCTGTTTGAGAAAATTCGGACCGATAAAACTGCTTAATCTGTCCGAATTTTCTCAAGAAGAGAGCTACAGAGCTACTTCACCGTTATATGGTGACGACTCTATATGAGTGTAAAATTCTCAAATGGGACCCAAAACAACATACAACAAACAATCTAAAAAAATTTTCCCGCCGTCATTTTAGATCCTTTTTCACAGTATTCAAATACATTGGAAAATAAAGAAAGGCTTTGTAAATTGTATTATACTTTCTTACACCTCATCCTTATTGGGTGTTTAACTTAAAAAGCTTCTAAGGTCAATTTAAAAAAAACAAAACATTGTTAATCTAGGATCAAACAAAAGGATGCCAAGAGTCATCGCATGTAGAAAGTGACCAATATAAAGGGAGGGTACTCAAATGTCTCACAGGAAACCTACTGGATAATTGTGCACAGAGTAAGGGTACTGTTTTCCCATTGATTGATTTCCGCAGTGAAAAAGACATTGAAAAGGAAAATGACAATGAGTTGGACAAGAGAAATGACTATGATAAAATGTCTGAAATTCTCGACAGAAGAAGTCCGGAATCGTGCATGATTAATCTAAAGAGAAAACAGATGTCGGACGTTATACCCCCTGGTTATGCAAAAGTTGTGTCCCCCTGTCTCCACGGTGAGCTAATTAATCATAAAAATTGTGATAGTTTTTTAACAATATCTTTTTTTTCAGTAGGTGTTATTAGATGCATTCTATCCGAAAAAGTCAATTTAATTTTAATTTCAACAAGATTGAAAGATCACCGATTGATACATAATACTCAACGTGGTATTTGGTATTGATCAAACAAGAATAAAATTATTCAAGGCGCGGTTTCGTCAGAGAAAAATGATTTAAACAGATTCATTCTAGCATATGCACAAAATATTCAATGAACTATACATGTTATGTTGAATTCTGTTTATTAAACATTTTAATACGTTGTACAGTTATGATCAGATTATGTTTCTTTCTTCTAGAAGCTGAAATTTCAGTTGAGCCACGGTCAATCAAAAATGAAGAATCTTTGAATGACCAACCAAATAATGATGAAAGTTATGTAACGAATGAGCCTAGTCACTGGAACGATGAGAGTACGAGTAAACATGACGCGGAGCATCAGAGAGGGAGTTCCCTCTTTTCTAGTTTGACGCAGTCATTGACATCTGATGGGAATAAAGGCATATCTGCTAACCTCACCAGTACAACAACAAACAATGTTCTGGGCGATAGTAATACAAATTTAATTGGTGAATCATTTCAGAAGACGATATCATCAGCAGATTTCAACTCAGATGATTACATTTCAAATGATTTTTTAACCAATGTTGATGTTCATAGCGCCCCTACAATCGATAAAATTTCAATTATTGATATTAATTCTTCTGCATTTAGCCAACATGTAGCAAGTAACATTTGTGACAAGGCGGAAATGTGTCCAGATTATGTTTATAATGATACTCAGCCAGACAATGCGACAGGAGTGAAGCTCTTAATAATAAACTATGGAGTAAGTCAGAATAACAGTGACAGTGAAAACACTACGGGAAGTATGGAATATGTGTCATATTCTGGAGCTTTGGAAGGGGATCTCTAGTCCCAAAAATGTAAATGGAGTTGTTCATTTCTCGCTTGTATATTTGTTTGTTTGTTGTTGTTTACTATTCACTTTTCTTTACAAAAAATGTACACTGTTTTGTCTTATAGTGTCTTATGTAGTTGCTTGGTGTTGTGCAAAACGAGAATTAAGTACTGATGCAATAACGCTAAATAAACCTTACTTTTTATGATTAGTTTCACTTAAGATTGCAATTGATTTAGTTGTTTTGGAACATATATGCATGAACAATATTGTATTTGTTGGTTTTTACCGTTGAAAGTCTATCTATCATCTGCTGCCTTCATAAGACACTCTTGTTGATAATAAACGTTTGTAAAGCATATTTTTACTGAAAGTGTGTCAATACCAGACCATTGTTGAAAATGATATTCTATATTCCTTGATACTCTTAATGTAAATATAAGGCGTCATATATTACATTAGATAACACTGTATAGTATTTTTAGCGGTCTTACATTTAGTGTAACCAAATACATGTATGTGATTACTTAAACTGATTAATAGATGCAAATGTCAATTAACTTATAATACATTTTCTTATAATCTTACGTTTTTCTTATAATAAATAGTTCTATTAATTAGAATACAATGTTAATTTGCCATGAGAAGCGTTTAAAAAAAATCATAATTACAACTATGATTTAGCATCATGCGCTGTATATACATCCTGTTAAGCAATTGTTTTGGAAGGAAAAAATATGGTCTTTTTGCGAATTACAAAAGAATCACAATCAGGGTTAAATTACTCAGGAATGATTAAAAAAACATTTAGGTAATGATTGAGATTCTTGATATAGTGCTTTCTATCTGCAACATCGTTTTACACTTTAAGCATTAGTGATCACTTATAAGTGCCGTTGTAATCAATATAGTAAATCAAAATGTGTCAAATACAATACTTTAGTTAAAAAAAGCTAATAAAATGCTCAAAGTAAATACCACTTAAACTACATTTTTAAAATTAAAAAGTTTAGTTATTCAGTTTAAGGACGTTCGATCCTGAGCTTTTGAGCGGATTTTGGTCTTGTCCTTTATTTATGATATTCTGCATCATTTTTAAGTTCTAACATTAAATCTGAATTCTACAATGCAAATTGGACTATATTCAATGAAAAAAGTGCGATTTAATTACATTCAAGTAGAATTAAACAAGGAACTATATTTTGTGGCGAAAGGTTTTTTTTTTAGAAGAAAATGATTAGTTTTTCCATTTTGAACTAATACAGTACTGTTAATTTTAGATTCCTATTTTCTCATGCTGGTTGCATACAAAGCTGTTTTTTTTAATGAAATGTGTTATGCTGATTCTGAAATATCTATTAAATTATTTATTATGTATTCTTTCAACGAAGTGTGACAAATATAGTAAATATATTCCGAAAATCCGGGAAAAAATTGAACCTATTTTAACGTAAAATTGAAACATTTTTAAAGTAATATCTGAAAATTTACATCATATACCCCCACTTCTGATGTTCTTTTCTAAATATTTCAGATTACGTTGACCTATTTGCTTGAAGTCAGAAAAAGTTTAAGACCTTAAAATAATTTTCTTGCTTATTAAATTTTCAATGCCAGAAAAATCACATTTTATTAGTGCAGAAAGGTCAAATAATTGATTGTGCGAAGCAATTTGAAACTTTTTAAAGTCACAATTTCAAAGTGTTATTCTTATGTTTGATAGGCTAGAGTTCATTTTGTTTCATGCTTTAATTGGATAAAGATGTTGGAGGGAAAACCTCAAAGATGTAATCTTTAATTAAGACACAAATTTCAGTGCAAAAAGGTCATATTAAATTACTATAGCACCAAGAAGAAGCATATTGATCGCCATTTTTTGATTTGAATTTTAGTTAACCTATGTTTGTAGAAATTCAAAATATTCTTGGCAAAAAAGTTTATGACTTTAAATATCAGGATCCAACGTCGTTAGATAAGTAGAGCGGTATATACCGCTCTCTGATTGAAACTTCACTTCTTTTCAGAACAAAACTATTTACCATTTTGAAGATTATGAAAGATTCCACAGAGTCTGATCCATCTTTCGATATTTTACTTGAAAAAGAATGATTATATGATAAACGTGAATAACTTTTCAATCGTCAACATCCCTTACTAATGCAGCAATATACCTTCATCTCTCAGTTGATTCGATATATAAGAGCATGCTCTATGTTATAAATATTAACAATTTCTAAAATAGGTAAATCATTAACAGAGAATATGCTGAAACTACAGTCTCGTTTGAAGTTATAATTTCGTACGCATTACGGTTGATATCATGGCCTTGTCAGCAAATATAATATACAAATTGAATTTTCGACAGATTTTCCCGTTATTGCACGATTATGACATTGAGCACAAAGCGGGTGTGACCGTCAGCATGGGGATGCCCACTCCTCCATTTCTCCTCATCCCACCTTTGATATTTTTTAGAGATCTGTGTTTGCACTGATCCAATTTTGTGTTGTTTAATGGACCTTTTAGCTTGTATACTGTTCGTATTCTCCATATATTTCATTTCATGGTATTAATTTCTCTGTTAATATCATATTTCCAATTTTTATACCCCCCGCTTGAAAAGCGGGAGGGTATATAGTAATCGTTAATTCCGTCCGTCCGGTATTAATTTCTCTGTTAATATAAAATTTGATGAAACTTTCATATTTATTGCCAATTTTTTTTTTTGATTTTGCCCATAGCAAAACATGGACAATTTATACACATACGTATACATTTTAGCCCATTGCTCACAGTACCTCTAGTTTTATTTTGCATGTACAATGTATACATTTTAAGCTTAATTATTATTCCTACTCCAGGCGACTGATCTAAATTTTGTAATTTCCGGTGGTTTGTATTTATTAATTGTGTTGTTTGTGAATTTTTTGTTGTAAAATTAATCACTGTTTGTTATAATTTTTAAGTTTTTCATTTTAAAAGTTTAATAAATGTGATGACTTTAACATTTCAATCGTCAACTTCTCTTACTTACTAGTGTGCAGCAATATACCTTTGTCACCTGCATACAGAGTTTATATCTCTAGTTATTTCTAAAATATTATGTTAGCCATTCAATATTGACAATAATAAAGCAAGAAATCAGCATTCTTGTTATAAAGCCATGACCTTGTCAGCAAATACAGTTTATCATTACTCATCGGCTGCTACTAAGATACAGACCGTCGTTTTAAGGTCTCATCCAAAAAGACCCCCTTTTTTCCAGTGAGGCTTCCCTCTAAAGTGTTGCTTAAGAATGGCCTATCTATATGTGGAACATGTAAGTAAGGAGAGTTGACGAAATGGAAGAGGAAAGTCACCAGGTTTATTATAAAGCACAATTATTAGGTTACTGTGGTTTTTATTGTAAAATATCCATATATGAAATAAATAAAATCCAGGCACTGCAGTATCTTTAATCTCAAGTTCAATAGTAAATATCTTTCTGACATGTGAAAGGAAATAACTTATGTTACTTAAAACTACATCGTTGATGCATATTAATATCGTGCTGAAGGCCACATCAATAGTTATTTTACTTTTCATGTAAATACTGCTTCATGTGAACAAAAGAAGGGTAAACAGAAGCAATTGGCACCCAAGAGAATTCCAATAGATTGTCGGAGTACCTAGTCTCTATTGGAATTAGAGAAAATGCGGACCTCTATAAATATCAGAGGTGGAATTAGGTGCTGTGGGTAGAATACACATCCAATGTCGACATGTTGGTGAAAACTGGTGAAAAAATGACCTAAGACTGAGGGGATGGAGAGTCTGTATCTACAAATAGTGATAGATAAGAAAGTAAGGGTTCTTGAGTGAACCTTCACCTGGTGAGTTATCTATTTCCCTATAGTAGAATTCCGTCTAGTGTGTATTTCGGGGGTATGACTTCTTATCTAGGCAAATTTAACTTTACAACAACGGCCTATTTACGAATTTTAAGTAACAGTCATTGCTTATATACTGAAAGGAAAAAAGAAACGCAGGGTAAACTTTAGAGGTGAAATAATTTTATTTTTTCTAATGTATTTTCGAGTGTTCCTATCTAATGTTTAAAATATTTGATTTTGCCTCATAATTCGTAAGTTATCGACACTGATATAACGATACCCCCAAATGCCCATCTGTCACAGTCTTGTTTCTGCTTTGCATGGAGTTCATCAATGTGTTTTTCTGACAAATAGGAATATTTTCAACCTTTTTTTAACAAGATAACCCTTGAAAGGAATTTCGAACTCTATCTTCCACAGATGTTCAAGAAAGTCTTGATAAACCTCGCCTACAATGGGTCAGAGGTAAAAACGCCGAAAAAATTAGTCAAACGGCGCGCGCATGCGCATTATAATTAAGATAAATCCCAACGTAAAGTTGACAAGCTCGAAGATCCAAATCGTGCAATCGGTTTCGAATTCTTTCAGTTTTATGGTGAATGTAATGTTTATGAAAAATACTCTTTTAATAGCAGTTTTGTGGCAGAAAGGTGGCGATTAAACTAGTGGAGGGATGAATAACCCGATATTGACGTGGCTGTGTTACGAGTCAACGTCGTCGTCACGGATGATTGAAAACAATCCAAGGCCCTCTCTGACGACGGCAAAGACGTTTTAAAGGGAAAATTTAATAACGACTACAAATCAAGCCGCTGTTGCCTTTGTCCTTACTTAGGCAATGTGAAAGCCAGACTCCATGAAACTTCCGTCAACTGTTACAAGATTGCAAGAAATGCATTTCGTCTAAAAATACTGAAAATCAATGTGTATGCCTCAATTGCATGAAATGGTACAAAAAGATCGTTGACAAACTTGTCGTACTCAAGTTTCAAATGTCTCTTTTAGCACATTTCCGACGTGACGTCATACATTTCACGGTTGAGTAATTCTGAACACTGATTTTAGTGCATAGTAGCCACGATTCTCACCTGACCAATTTTTGTAATTTTTGTTATGCGGTAAAGAACATTTCGCATATTACGTTATTCTACGTTTCTTTTTCCTTTCAGTATATTTTAAAACATCCTAGGGTTGAGGTGGCGAACGAAAATCAAATATAAGCTTCCTGGTCATAGACTGAACGATCATAAACTAGGTAACCCTTACTGTTTTATTTGGTCATGGTACAATTCATTATTTTGATGATCTATTTTGACTCATTTGTTCCAATTTAGGTAAGTATACAAGTATGTACTAAGTAACTTAATTTTTCTTAATTTAAGCACAAAAGTTTCCTAGCTGCATATACATAGAAAAGGTCTTAAATGAAAGCACCATTGAGCATATAAAACAATTCATTTTCATTTCTTACGATGTTACTTGTCAAAACACTGATTTTAAGCACTTGGTAATCTAGTTTATTATTACATTCTCATACGAACACATTTAGGACTGTTTGATACCTTAAACACCCAATTTTATGTGAACGCCCCCTAAATCTACCTGATTCAAGATCAATAATTTACCGCCTGTCAATCATTAAAAAAACAATAGCTTCTGATTTGATTGACAGGCCAACCCGTGCTACCTGATAGTCTGAGTTTGTGTCCTTTGAAAACGATTGCCTGGTCACGCGTCAAACACTTTCATGTAGGCGCCTTGTATACACGGAGGTTAAAAAAAAGAATCTTGGTAAAATTTTATTTTTAAAAACAATTGAAAGTAGATAATTAAAACATGACTTTATAAAATATTCGCTTTTAATCTCAACGGCTATATTGTATTTTAGGCGATATGTCGTCCAAGGTATCAGCTCCGTAGAATTTAGACCGAAACGCTAATTGCCGATTAAAATTGAAATATTAATAAGAAAAGATATTAAGCACAAACGGCACGGATAAAAAATTCATTTATCCCATGTTTTACCTACGTATATATGAATACAATCTATACCATGTTCCATTGTAAAGTTCTGAAATGTCAGAGATTGTAACTTTTAGTTCGAATTTCCTAACATCTGTCAATACCCAATTTTCGAAATTACAAAGTGAAAATATACAGCCGAAGATCAATTCTTAAAAGTATAAAAGAAATCTTGCAAACAATAACAAAAATTTTAAACACACGAACACCTGGAAATGGTGAATATTTTAGAGTTGATCAGATATACTAGCGGTAGGGTACATTGTATATGTTCACACGACGGATAGGCCTACCTATAATGGAATACGATTTACACAATTTAATTAAAAAAAGATATGTTTACTTTGTAGTTTTACTCTGTGTTCTTTTCTTTAATTTGTCATTTTTTTTAAATATAAAACGATATTTCTTTATATATTTTTTTCTTCATTAGATATCGCTGAAAGTATTTATAAATAATTTTTTTAATGAAATATTTCAAATATTTTAAGTAGTTTCACTCAAATTAAGACACGAAACACGGAATGTTGGCCCTGATCACCAGGCACAGACTTCCTGTGTACTGCTACGTGTATATAGATTTTTGACATCTTGGGTATTGGGGGTCTCCAGGTAAATAACACCACTGTTACTAAGACCACTCCCCTCCTCAGGTAACCGTACGGTAAAAAAAATTGGGTCTTTAAACGTTCCAATAATGGATTTATTAAGAGCGATATAAGTTGCTAACTTATACGTTCAAATAAGGGATTGATTAAGAGCGATATAAGTTGCTTACGTATACGTTCCAATAAGGGATTGATTAAGAGCGATATAAGTTGCTAACTTATACGTTCCAATAAGGGATTGATTAAGAGCGATATAAGGTGCTAACTTATACGTTCAAATAAGGGATTGATTAAGAGCGATATAAGTTGCTAACTTATACGTTCAAATAAGGGATTGGTTAAGAGCGATATAAGTTGCTAACTTTTACGTTCAAATAAGGGAATAGATTAAGAGCGATATAAGTTGCTACCTTAAACGTTCAAATACTGGTTTAATTATGAGCGAGACAAGTTGAAAAATTCAACGCCAACGCACATGGTCTATTGTGAAACAGTTCGCTTTCAATCCGATTAAATTAATATATACATTTTGATACGCTCCGAAATTCCAATGGTCTCTGCACAGTTTGTCATGTCTCGAATAATTCAATATAAATTATAATTAAACTTATTTTTTATTATCTGAGCAAAAATAATCTCATAATCTTAAAAAATTCTATTTACTGTAAGTTTTTAGAGCTGCATCTTTCATTGTTGCTAAAGACCTTCAAATAATGTCCACACCAAACTGTGCACTTTCAATTTATTTATTTATTTTTTATACACTACTCCTTGCTTGAAAAGTAGCAGGCTATATTTTGACAAGTATTTCCGTTCGTTTGTCCGTCTGTACGTCCGTCCATCCGTCTGTCTGTTACCTTTTGGGTACCCAACTTTTATCTTCGTTTACTACTGAATGTATTTTGGTGAAACTATTTTTACAGAAACTTTTTTACATAATGCCATTTTGCACCTCCTATTTTACTTTCTGATCAAACACATATATTTCGGGTTTCCCATAGCAAAACATTGACACGGCCATTCTTTCTATAATATTGAAGGATACCCATCTCTTCTCCACAACTCCTCCTTTACCACTGAATGAAATGTAATGATACTTTCATAGATTTTTATTACATAATGCCATTGTGCACCTCCTATTTTATTTTTTTTTATATGACATTTATTTCATGTCTCTCAGAACAAAACATGGACCATTATAATGGTATTGGAGGCGGGGTATCATTTAGTGAGCTCAGTGCTCTCAGCGCCTCTAGTTTTAATCTAATTTTACCCTTACCACATTGTCAAACTAAAAAACGATAAAGGATAACCATTATATCCTATCTGAAATATTTTTTTTTTATAAAAGTTAACTATCCTTATAGTTTTCAAGGAGTTTAATACAGGTAGTTACTATTTAAGATCAATTGATAAATTAATTAATTAATCATGGTTCTAATATCAATTTTTTTTTTGCTTTGCTCATTTACTCCGTGACGTAAGATGTTAAAACTGCTGTGAATAAGACCTCTCAAATAAGCTTTTTCAAATAACAGAGTCCACTTCCGGCGGTGCACACAACAGGATATAACTGACGTAGGAGTTCAAAACCTGTGGATTCTGGAGTAGAAGTAATGCATCTGTATCATGTCGAAGTAAGGAATGCATATGTGTGCCGTGTTGACCACTACAAAGGTAAAATCAAACCTACAGTCTTAAATTATCAATTTATAAATTATAAAAGACACTAAGATTTTTACTTATGATGTCTAAATGAAATTCTTTTATACTGAATTATTTATAACCATAGCATATAAAAATAGATTGGAATTCGCTGTATGTTTGAAAACATTACCACTGACGTTTTTGTATTCTGCTAAATAACTTTTCGGTGTAGATGAATAAAACTATATTGATTTTTATCTTTACTCTATATCTAATGTATTATCAGATTTGAAAGTCAGCTGCTTTTGTATATCAAAGTTTGTTTAAGCTGTTACACTGTCTTGTTACATTTTTTATTCATCCATGAATCAGCAAGAATCTTCAAAAGGGTACCACAAAAAATAAAGTTAGAATAAAATAGAAATAAAAATTTAAAAAGAATGAAATTTAGCAAAAAATATTAGAACAATGAAAGTGGTCAAACTTTGAAAACAATTTAAAAACAGATCGCACTTTGTCAACGCCTGAACAATTTGAACAAATATCATCAGTAGTTGAAACATGATTCATTTATTGATGATGTTACTAATTTCCTTGAGCATAAAAGGGCTTTATCTGAATGCCTTATCCGGCTTATAAATATTTGCTTTCTTTCAAGCGGAAGTCTTTTGTACTCACTGCTTTCTTCTTTAAACTTTTTATGGAATTGATTAAAACATCTTTTAAAAAAGTACTTGTAAGTATTTTTTGCAAGAACTTCAACAAATCCTCCTTTTTCAGATGATAAATAAAACACATCAATAAATTTAGGTTTAGCATACAATAAAGAGAGAATTTTTTAAATAGAATATTGCGAACAATAATGCAATTAATATGCTTCATACATTTTTTATTAAAAAAAATTTCCATGTTTCATTCATTTATCAATAATGGTAATGGTAAATAAGAAAATAAGAAAAAAACACAACTAGAGGTACTGTCAGCAATGTGCTCACTAAATGATACCCTCGCCTCCAATATGGATATAATGGCATTGACATGGTCTTGCTATGGGAAACCCTAAATATGTGTTGGATAAAAAAGTAAAATAAGAGGTGCTCAATGGCATTATGTAATAAAGATTCTCTGAAAGTCTCATGAAATTTCATTAAGTGGTTTAAGAGAAGTTGCGAATAAGAGATGGGTACCCCAAAGAGTAACAGACAAACGGACGGTCGGATGGACATACCGATTACTATATACCCTCCCGCTTTTCAACCGGGGGGGGGGGAGGGTTATAAAAGTTATGGTAAGGGAACAAATTATTTAACACAAAAAGTACCATTCATGTACAATTAATGATCAGTAAGATCTATGGACCAAGTCGTAAGCTCATAACAGTCTTAAATCATGTGAAAGTAGCTAAAATATGTAACAATACAGAAAATATAATTTTCAAATAAATCTAACGGACATTCAGTTAAATTGCTAATCAAATTTTTAATTAAAATTCAAATTTTTTTAAAACCAGAAATAGACATTTTATTTTTTTTCAATACTTTTTGTGACAAACCCATACTTGCTTTTCCACAGCTTTGTCATTTATGGAGGGGAAGTGTTCTTATCTGTTTATAAACGTTGACAAATAAAATCTGAATTCATATTTTTTCTTTGCTTTAGAATATTTTGAAGAAAATTTAGCACATTTTCTTCAAATGTTAAACAGAGGAATGGAAATCAAAATTTTAAAAAATGGATCTTAGGATGATAATAACTGCTAAGTCCAGATATATCCTTAGTAACATCGATTTTTTAAAAAACTTTTTTAAATAAAGAATTTAGAAAAAAAATGAAAATTATTTTTTTTTATCGTTTTCATCTGTTACATGTAAAAAATAAAATGAAATAATGGCAAGAATTAAAAATTCATACTCCTCTTAAGTTCAATTTAACTGTGTTTAGCTATATTAATTTTCAGTGAGATGTAATAAGCTGTATCCGGTTGCGGTAGAACTGACAGTCATACTTAAAAGTGCGCAAACATTCTAGCGAAAACTTAAAAAGCGAAAAGTATGAGCTGCTGTCTAACCTACATAACATTTGGGTTTTTCTGTTCTGTTGTGCTCCAAGAGACTTTAACTTTAGAACTATTTGGAGGTAGGTAGCAATTTTTGAATTTATTGGGTTTTTTTAAATAATAAAATCAATACATTACATAACGAGGAATCTAAATATAACGGTACAATGTTATTTGAAGTTTGTTAAAATTACTTGAAAAAATACTGTGCCTCTGTCATTTTTAAAATTTACTCTTTCTGTGTGTGTTACTTTACACTCGATCGTAAATATTCGTTTAATTAAGATCCTTAAAGCAAACAAAACTTTTATCCCTTTTATTTAATGCCAATTTATAATTCTTTCAAGCAATTACTCCACATACAAGAAGAGTTATTCTGAATGGAACACTGGAATTGAACTGCACAGTTCAGAATGGAATAAATACGTCGACATTGTATTGGGAAACACCAGAAGGAAAAGCCCCGGGCGACATAACGTTCATTATAGGAAGCTATACAATTCAGCTGAGAAAAAAAGTCACCAGTATATCGGAAGAAGGCACTTACCTCTGTAGAAGTACTAGTGAAAAGCAAATATCGAGAAGTCCACGTGCAAATGTTTTTGTTGAGTGTAAGTCGATTATCACAAAAATATTAACAGATTTATCAACAAATTTCAATATGAAAATGTTCTATTCCGTTAAAATGAATTTAAAAGTGTATAAGGTTTAAAGTTGTTCCAAATAATTACCAGGAAAATTTGCTTATTTATTAAGTTTGAGTCCACATTATGGTGATTCAGACAAAATTTTTTATATGTAATTATGTTTAACAACGTTTTTATGACACAATAATGTAGAGCTGCAAATGAGCTTCTGGTTTCTGAAAGTTTCGGACGTGATATGTACATGTATTAAGTTCTCACAAGATTGTACTATTCATGATTCAAGTATAGATAAAACGGTTAATATGTTTAAGTATTTAAGACATTTCTCGTTGTATAATTTTTTGTCTTTATTTAGTGGATAATTTCCACACAAGCACATGCTTTTATCAGAAAATGGAATTTTGAGCATAGGCATAATATGATATCAAGTCTATTAATATTAAAATAATCGAAGTTTGTTTATATGAAATCAACAATTAATCTTCCACGAAAACTGAGACAGTCATTTTCATATATTCAAATTTGAAAAATGAAAAAAAAAATGGTTTAATTTTATTAATATAGATGAAGCTGTACGTAATGTAACTAACTTTACCTGCATGGTAATTCAAGAAAAAGACGAACTTCAGTGCAAGTGGGAATTAGGGACGTATATCCATGAAGAATATTTAAGTATCTTGCCTTCTGTGTGAGTTTCTTAGTAATGTCGATTATTTAGCCAGTAATTTTAGATGTTGTTTTATATTATACACATGTCAGTCAAATTCTTAATTAGTGGAATCGCAAGATCTCTTTATCGATGGAACTTGTAAATTTTTTTTTTCAAGAAACATGAATATATTTTTCATCTTTTCTTTAAAAAAAAAAACAGTAAAATTTTTTTTTTATTTGACGAGTATTTTACAGTTATATGTTTTAATCAAGATGTTTTGTGAATTACACAGGTCTTTTGATGACGGTTACCATTTCTTGGACTGTCCTGAAGAATCTCCACACGAGAGCTGCACTTGGAGCCAAAATGACGGGGACATTTATTCCATTTTAATATGGATCAAACTGACAATCACCAATACGGAATTCAAACTGTCAAAGACGTTTTTCTACTTCTTCCGTAGTAAAGAAATACGTACGTAAAATGAGAAAAACGGCTAAATTGAATACATTGGATTAAACCGAATGGAAATGAAAATATAAGTTTCCCACTAGTTCTCCGTGTAAGGAAAACTGTGTACTTGCTTAATTTTCATCTTTCATTCATTATAAACTTAATAATTTTTGTTAAGCATATACTGAGATTTATGTAAAAACGGTTAAATTGTAATTGTCTAATAATTTATCAGTGAAGTTCAAAAAACTTTTGAAAACTTGTCTATACACTGTATATATTCATTTACATCAAAAACAAACAGAATCAAGATTTTTAAAAACCTTAATAAATCTGGTCAAAATAAAAGGTATATATTTTCTGAAGTACGACTTGGACCACCTACAGACATTGAATCTCAGGTAATGTCTTCCTGTACCTGTGTCAAGCTCAACTGGAGTTCTGGAGAAAGATTCATGGCGACATCAACAAAGATTGTTCTCAACTCTAAGTGGAATGTCACCCCTAGGGCAAGTTGCATAGTTTTAAGTATGCAAAATATGGTTTATATCCAATGTTATTAGAAATATACTAAATTATAAATTATATTGCTGAAGTTTCTATGTTTGAATTAGATTTAATCAGAAATTAGATACATCTGCATACTATGGAAAGTGTTTTATAGTAACCAACAGTACTGAAAAAAAAATTCAGAAATTAAATGATTTAGTGATTCCTCACGTTTTATTCTTCCTAAATTGAATCATTGTCTATTCTTAAATTTTCAAATAATACTAATTTGAAGCAGATGTTAGATTTTTACATTAAAATATATGGAGATTAGATAATTTTCGATCCCAGAAGAGATATAAATGGTATATGATCTCCGTAACCCTTTCGTGAAGTTTAAAAACTTCATGTCAAATTAATTGAAAATAAAGTCAAAATTTATGGTACAGTGTACCTGCTATTTTACTTTACTTTTATATTTGATCAAAACTTATATATCATTCAGATTGCTTACGGTATGCTAAATGAGAAAATATAACCGCTAATTTATTTAAAGAAATACACAATCCGATACAATAATTGACCTTAGCATTTTTCGTTCGATAAAAATTATATTTTGTGCAGGTACAGGTGATAGACTACGGCGAAACAGCGATGATTTGTGGCCTCATTCCCAATTCTGTGTATGAGTTTGAAATACAACAGAAACCGAGTGTGGGTTTCTACTACAGCGATTCCACAACGGCTAAGTTCAAGACTTGTATAACAGGTAAATCTAGTTAACAGATACTAGTATATTAACCTTCCTAGATTGCATAAGAAGATTATAGTTTATACAATATCAAATAAGTATTTTCAATGTACGATTAAAGGATTTTTTTGGCTTTTTTTATGTATTTATTTATTTTAAGGCATGCAATCTTTGGAAAAAAATGTTTTGACTGAACCTCTTGTATAACATGAAGCATTAAATTTCTTTTTTTTAATTTAATTGTCTTAAAAATGACAATGACACGGCATTCAATAGATGGAGTGCTCAGAAAATCAATACAAAATTCGATTTATGGTGTAGAATGACGTAGAATAATGTTTTCATAAGAGAACTCAACATATCTACGATTCATATTTACATGTGTATCTTGGAGAAATTTTCTTTCGTAAAACTGGATGTTTGGTCATTATTTACACACAGAGTTGTCCACAGATTTTTGTTCCCGTTTTTCCTGATCATATCATTGAACATACGGCGGATGTGAGCGATCAGCAGGGGATGCTTACATGTACTCCTCCATGGCACCTGATCCCACCTCCGATTTTTGAGCTCAGATACTGTTTGTTATCTCCACATATTTCATCTTTACACAAAGAAATAGTTACGTTGTTATTCTTTTTTTACAATAAAATAGGAGTACTTTTCTTTTTAAAATAGTCCGCCAAAATTGAACTTTTTTTTTTTTTAATTAAATTTTATAGCTTCGGAAAGGTCGCTCCACAATGAAAACAAAGAAAAAGTTTTGTAGAGAATAAGATAACTATTTACGCCACAAACCCTTCTGGTAAATTGTGAAGGAGGTTATAGTGTAGAGTGATTTAGTTTTAAGACACATATCATTGCAAGTGCAAAATGATCGTATTTAATTGTACCATTACTTAGTAACATGCAAACTAGCCTTACTAAATATCATAACTACACCATGTTCACGATAAAAGTTATGGACAAAATCATTTTAGCAATTCAATGGGATTAAAATTAAGTAAATATTATGATTATAGGGTAAATTAATAGAAAACAGTTTTCAAATTCAGAATTACATTGAAACATAACAAATATCAGGAGAGCAAACATACATACATCTCTTAAGTCATCATTGGGTAGTATCAGATACCATGGGGGAGTCAGGAATCTCTATCGCCTGATCACGCCCTACCACTGTTCCGTTTTATGATCGGGCAAATTAAAAAATCCGTAAAACAATGGTCACAGAAGTTGAATTTTTTGACTTTGCAATAAATCGTCTTCGCTGACAAGATCTTTTTATTCTGCAACTACCCCTTGCATTTACCTAATAAAGGTAACCTAATAAACCAAAGCTTTATCCGGTCACTGCCGTAATAAAGCCTCGTGCATGTATTCCGACGTTCCAAAAGCATTGTGACGTCACGTATATTGCAATGTTTACGCCAAGGCGTCATAGTTTCAACTGCAGAGATGTGCCTAAATCTGTCGAAAATAGCTTGTTTTGGACGTTCAAATGTTGAAATATGTTGCAGGATAAACAAAATACATAGTAACTGTTTTGAAATATAAACGATATTTGGGCTGGGGTCGAAAACGTAAGAGGGCTCGGCAAGCCTCGCCCTCTATCACGTTTTCTTACCCTCGCCCAAATATCGCTTACATTTCAAGACAGTAACCATGTATTTTATATTTATCGACCATGCAATTTGCGAAATGTTTATTTTAAACGTCTTTTGATATCCTTGTATACTCTATTTATTCGTCAAAAGCTTGCCTCGTAATCGAAATTGTTTATAGAGCATTCTCTTGCGTATCGAATCAGTTTGGAGCCATAGAGTCCATGCATATGCAGCTGAATTGTAAATTGCTAAAAAGGTTAACAATAGAGGAATTGAAGACATAATATTTAGCACACAGCTTTGTTTTTGTTGTCTTTTCGTATTGTTCAATTAATATATCAAAATAATAAATAAGATGTACCACTCTTTTCGTTTTTTCCTTGGTTTGGAGTTCAGGGGGATATGTGTATATTAAATCATTGATAGAATAAAACTGAATATAAGTAAAAATTGATTAAACGTCGCCAATAAATCAACAAAACAAATTAAATAAAGAGGCAAAATATCCTTTTGAGGTAAAGATTTTTTAATAAATTCTGAATCACATATATATATGGAGTTTGAATTATTAATAAAGACTGTAATTGTTAGATTGTAAGAAGAGTTATTTCCTAGACAAAAAATATTTAGTTACTTTATTCATCTAGAAGAATATTTATACATGCCTTTTTAAGGAAAACAACTTTATTGCCCATAGACTTTTTATGAAATATATGTTTTATATATTTATTTTGAGATAAAATCTCTTGACAATATTCTTTTTTTACTTTATTTAGAAAAAGCAATAGTTCACACAATTCTTTAGTAAACCTCTTCCATTTGTTTCCGTTTGCTTTGAACATTCATTCGAGTTCTTTTATTAAAAATATTAAAAAATGAGAAGTTGATGAAGAACACAGCTAGATGATGAATTTACATGTACTTGTTGTAAATGATAAACAATATGTAACAATGGAAGGTATATTTCTTTAGATTAATCAGTGTTGCACTTTTAACAGCTCCAACAATTGGACCGGGACTTTTTTCCAGTGGTTATTCGGCGAGAGAGTGTGGCACTTCCTCGGAACTTCGCACAGTTATTATTTATTGGAAGGTATACTCAAACTTTTCAAACATTACAAAATCATATATGATAGCTCTTAATACAAACAAAAAGGGGAAAAAAAGAATGTTATATTAACAAATAGAGAACTTCTAAATATTACAATGAATTTAAGAGATAGATATGAAGTCTCTAGAGTAATGTCCTTCCCCAAACCTTATAGTTTGAAAACTTTCTAGGAAATTAAAGACCTCTGATTATATTTTAGCTGAATGTAGCTCAATAATCTTGATTAAATCCATTTTTTAAATTATGTTATGAATAAAATAAAAAAAAAAGTGAAAGAAAACAAAAAAATCTATTCATAAATTTACGTGAGGAATTTTTGTAAATGTGACAAAATCTTACGTCTTAATGTTTATCTTTTGAAAATCCAGATCTGATTTACAACTTTCCTACAAAATGCTTTACTGCAGTATGTCATTGCAGTGGTTATATTTTGCTGTTAGCTTTTTGTTTTTTGTTAATGAAAATCAATACAAAGATGTATTGTCGGTTCCAGCAAATGTTCTGCTACATATTATCCCCTCATCGTTTACTCTTTATACTTCTAGGTTTTACTTTTTTTAATTATAAGAACAAATGAGTTCTAAGAGTGTAACTGGACCTTTATCTTTTGTCAATTACACTTTTTTACTTGCGTTTACTCATTTATATTGCTTTAAGAAAGATAAAGAAAAGAGAAAATAAAAAAAAAAATAAAAACGAAGAGAATAAAACCTAAACAAATACAGAATAATTACTGATTTTTTATTGGCTACATTATTCTGAGAAAAAACTATGAGTTCAAGGTTTGATTGTGTAAATTGTTCATTTCGTGATGGACATTAATTGGTTGGTCTTTTTAAAACAGAAATATACTCCAAGGAAATTTTATTTTATTTAGTGATTTCACAGTAAATTGCCGTAACAAAGTATTAAGTTATTGGTTTGTTGCAGAAAATTCCTGAAATGTATCAGAATGGCGCTATACACAATTATACAGTTATCTCTGACGGTTTGGAGCACTATAGCTTTGGAGCGAGTACTTTTTACGGAAGCCTGTTGGTGCCATGTGAAGGTTGTCACAATCTCAGTGTAACTGCCTGTAACTCTGTTGGTTGTTCCCCGCAGTCATCTATAATCATCATGGACCACAAAGGTAAGTTTATAGGCATGGTACATAATACATCTACAGTGTTGCTTTAAAAAGAATCCTTTTGATATAGTTTTAATACTGCTATATAGGAAGCAAATAAACATAATTGAAAAATATATAGAAACAAAAACACAAGCCCCCCCCCTCCTATGTTTCATGCCAGAAATTGTCAAATCTGTTTCCTATATATATATATATATATATATATATATATATATATATATATATATATATATATATATATATATATATATATATATATATATATATATATATATGATTGATAGATAAGCTCTCAAGGTGACCAGACGTGTTTTACAGTGCTCCTCCTTATCAGTAATTACCTATGCTGCTAATCATGGTATATAATGGAATCAATTAATCTGAATGAAAACACAAGTTTGTTCAAATCTATTTTGGATACTTTTGGATTTTCTTTTTCACACGGAAAATCCAATGCTGCTGCTGAAGACTCTTTAATTGATCTACCAGATTTCTTACGAGTGAAATATAACCAACAGAGCATCACCTTGAACTATGATGAAGATAGGACTGACGACATCGTGACCACTCTAAACAGTGAACTTTTGTTTACCAAAACTGGTTTCAAAAACGGATGTATTTATAAATCAGATAATGGCAATGTTACAGCAACACTTTACAAATCAACTCAGACAGTCCATATTCAAGGGAGTGAGAGATTCACCTGGCTACAAGAATTCATTGGACAAATTCCTCACCTGCCAATAACTGAGGTTAGTAAAATTGAAGGGATGATACAGCCACAAAACACCTCCACCCCTAAACCTTGTAAACAGCAAGATATAGAAAGCAGACCATGTCAAAACTGTAACAGCTCTCAAATCATTCAAAAACTGACCAAGTCTCTTACTGATCTCTCTGAAGAAGTTGCCAGACTGAAAAGGGAGTTGCATTCTCTTCGGAACAAAAACACTCAATCAGTAGATGCAACTACTCAAACAAGGGAACCACCTAGAAAAACCAAGGCCATTGATACGCGGGACATTAAGGAGAATCATGTACAAGGCGTGTCAAGACATACTCAGTGTACTAAAGTTGAGACAAGGGAATTCTCAACTTCTACAGAAACCTTGCCAGCCCAAAAAGAACAGAAAACCTTCAACAGACCGAAAAAGAACCCTAACCTGACGACCGATGTTCCATCTGGAAAATCTGTTCTAATAATAGGAAGCTCGATCCTACAGCGAATTCGTACCCGTGGGTTGCTGAAAAACGTTGCAGTCCGTACAAACAGAGGGGCTCGGCTGTCCGATATTAGACGGATTCTTCAAGGAATTGATCTAACTCCATTCCAGTCAATCGTCGTCCTTGCCGGTGGAAATGATGCTTCCAGCAACAGAGATATTGAGACAAGTGAATGTGATCTCACCGAAATCGTGCTTGATATCCAAAGGAGATCGCCATGCACCGAAATTTATATCTCGGAGATACCACCACGAAGAGATACTAGTGTTTCTCAAATAAATGAAATAATCAAATTTGTGTGTGAGGAATACAGTGTGAATTATATCTCACTCCGAAATATGTTCCAATCTTCGGATCTGTTCTGGAGGGATGGGATCCATTTATCCGACAGGGGAACATCAACACTTTTGAAAGCATATGACGCTCATGTTCGGATAATTAAAACGCGTCGTTCAAATGAAACACAAAACATGCCTGGTAATATGAATGTGTGCTTCAACTGTGGTGAATCTGGCCATTCCTCCCAGAATTGTCGGCACGGATTTAAAATCGTCTGCTGGAACTGCCGCTCCCCAGGTCACAAAGCAAAACACTGTTCGTATTAGGAATTCGGCAAAGAAGAAAATGCCGAACAATCTACCCTCTTAAATTCAAACCCCTTTAGTGTTTTAAACAATCTCTGTGCTGAATGCGGTGAAAAATCATGCAAATGTTCTTATATCTGTAGTGCCTGCAATATCAAAGATAAATCAGTAGAATCAGATGTAGCTGAAAATTTAATGTCTCCTTCACAGTCAGTCAGGAACTGTAATGTAAATACTGTCAAAAAAGTATTTCACGTGAAACCATGTACATCCTCCATTACTAAATCACCAAAACAATTTCTTAATTCAACAATTTCTACAAATATTGACCAATCACAAAAAAAAAGACAAACAATTTCGGACTTGTCAAGAAAGGTCTTAGATTTGGGAATCTAAATATATGTCATATCATGCCAAAAATTGACCAACTTAAAATTCTTTTATCAGGTTATCGCTCTATGGATGTATTTGGTATCTGTGAAACATTTCTAAATGAGGAAACAGACAACTGTGTGTTAGATATTGAAGGATTTAATTTTGAAAGAAAAGATAGATTATTGAAATAAGGAGGAGGATTAATGGTATATGTTTCCAAAAATGTACATTACAAACGTAGAAATGATTTTGAAATAGGTAATATTGAATCCATATGGCTTGAAATTAATATCCCAAATTCAAAACCAATTTTTTATTGTACCACATATAGGCCCCCATCTGCCACCACCTGCTGGGTAGAAAGTCTAACACGGGAGATAAATTGTGCATCCCGCTGTGACGATGCTGAAATTATTTTAACAGGTGACTTTAACATCGACTTGATTAAAGACCCCCCAAGATACTGGACCTCTGCTTTTGAAGAATATGACTTCACACAGCTAATTAATGTACCTACACGAATAACAAACACCTCATCAACTCTTATTGACCATATTTATACTACCCTACCAGAAAACATATGTGAATCTGCAGTACCATCAATTGCGATATCTGACCATTATCCTGTCTGTTTTACGAGAAAATTAAATAATAACATCAACAAATTCAAACACACAGAAATAACATACAGAGACTTTAAGCGTTTTAATGAAAATAATTTTCTTGCAGACTTAAAAGAGGTAAATTTCCAATCATTGGAATCATTCTCAGACCCTAATGAAGCACTCAACAAATTCTATTCACTTTTTAATGCTGTATTAAATAAACATGCAAAAGTAAAAACAAAAAGAGTTAAGCACGACACAAGACCTAAATGGTTAACTCAAGAAATTTTGCAAGCTCAACACATGCGTGATAACCTCCATAAAAATAAAGACTTTGAAAATTTCAAAATATGGCGCAATAAAGTCACATCACTAATTGAAAACGCCAAGATTAATTATTATAAAACAGCTATAGAACTAAACAAAAATCCAAAACAAATGTGGGATATATTAAACAGTTTAGCCTCTAAATCTCGTAATTATATTCCAGCTGCACTTGCTAGTAATAATTATATCACAGAGGATACACAAGAAATAGTAGAATTGTTTAATTGTCATTTTTCAAATATTTCTGCAGAACTTCTTTCAGGTATAAATAAGGAGGAAAATGACTTTACAAATCTTTTAGATTTTGTTAAGTCTAAATTAGGTGCAGACAAGTTTTCTATCCCGCTCATAAATTATGACGAAGTACTAACCTTACTCAATAAACTAGATACATGTATAAGTAAATCTTCAGGTGTTGATACCATCGGGCCACGTCTATTGAAACTTACTTCTCAAATAATATATAAGCCCGTGACCCATATTATCAATACTAGTATCATAACTGGTATTTTCCCCGAAAGTTTTAAACTTGCAAAAGTTACCCAGTCTTTAAAAAAGGAAACAGATTAGATCCAAATAATTATAGGCCTATTTCTATTTTACCAACATTATCAAAAATCATTGAAAAACATGTGGCAAAATATATACGATCTCTTTTTTCGGATTTTGATCTTATAGTAGATTCTCAATCAGGCTTCAGAGAACTACATTCATGCCAAACAGCCCTTACAAAAATTACAGATGAATGGTTAAATGAAATGGACCAAGGTAAACTTGTTGGTACTGTTTTTCTTGATTTTAGTAAAGCTTTTGACCTTGTCAATCATGATATTCTACTTAAAAAACTACAATGTTATAACTTTGATGCAATAACTTTACAATGGTTCAGATCTTATTTAAGTGAAAGACTTCAAAGTGTCCATCTGTCCAACAAACATTCATCTTATCAGCAAGTCACAGCGGGAGTTCCACAGGGATCTATACTAGGTCCTCTTCTGTTTTTATTTTACATTAATGATCTTCCTTTATGTATTTCAAAATCCAAATTAGAATTATTTGCAGATGATGCCACTTTACATACATCAAGTAAAGATTGTCAAACTATTGTAGATACATTATCAACGGATATAGCTTTTATAGAAAAATGGTGTTCTCAAAATCAAATGGTTCTAAATTCTACAAAAACCAAATGCATGTTAGTTGGTACGCATCAAAAGAGATCAAATTTTTCTGAGCATGAAATTATTCTATCTGTATCAAACAAAAAGCTTGATATTGTATCAAATGAAAAAATTCTTGGAGTTTATTTAGATAATTCTTTACATTACAATGTACATATTGACCATGTTTGTAAAACACTGTCACGTAAAATTTCTGCCCTCCGTAGAATTAAAAAGTTTCTTCCTCTTCAAACACGCAAGCTGTTTTACAATGCATATATTCTGCCTTCAATTGATTATTGTCTAACTATTTGGGGTAATACATCTCACTCAAATCTTGACAGAGTATATAAGCTTCAAAAACGCGCTGCAAGATGTATTTTAGATGCTCCTCCTGATGCGCCATCACAACCTCTCTTTGAGAAACTAGATTGGCTCACAGTGTATGAGCAACTTATTGTAAATAAATATGTTTTGTTATATAAATCATTGTTCAACTCTCACCCTACTTATTTAAATAGTATGTTTAACTTCCAGTGTAATAATCAATACAATCTTCGATCAGAATCTAATTTAGACTTGTGTGTACCAGCTCGTAACTGTAAGCTTTTTGAGAACTCCTTTCAATACTCTGGTGCTATCTTATGGAATAAATTACCTGTACATATAAAAATGTCTCAAACACTGAATGTTTTCAAACATCAAGTCAGAAAATTTGTAAAACAATGTCGAAATAACTTATGATTATTTATTTGAGTGTGTATATTTATATATGTATGTATATTGATTTTTGTCTACAGAAGGCCCCGGGGAAGAATAGTGCGTGCACTAATCGGGCTACCTTCTTTAAATAAAGTATTATTATTATTATTATTATTATTATTATTATTGTTATTATGTAATTTGTTTTACAATAGAAGAATTTAATAGAACAATTTTTTTTACTTAAATTAAAATAATGATTCGTAGAACTACAACCCCCAGACAAGTTGATTGTGGAGAGAGAAGATGATGATGATAAATTACATTTGTTTTGGTTCGGATCTTCTCAGGATGCCTCACAAGTACAAATTATTTGGTGCAAAGGGGAGGTTGTTATTCAGAAATGTCGGGTAGGATTATGAAATTATCATTCTGTCAATGCATGTGAAAGTATATATTATGTGATGTCCAATTGAAAAATCTTTCCCTGTGCACTTTGAACTAGTGCTGTTAAGGGTTGTTTTTTTTTAATTCAGTGTAAATACTCTCTTCATTACATATTTACCTTTCAAAATTGCATGTATTGGCATTCACAATCTGTTCTATTTCATTGTAATTTTAAGGGTGAAATCAACGTACTACAAAAAGACATCAGTCTTACTGGAAATCACGAGGTGGTTTCTACACAAGACATAAATGATTCGGTAGATGACTCCTTTTTTGGTGTTGCCTTCTTAAGTGGTGCAAATTTAAGTAGTGGTATTCGCTGGCAGGAAACATGCAGATATACTAAAGGCAGTGGTAAGACGGTTCATATATTGTTTGGTTCTATATTTACTTCATGTGATTATGCGTCAGGCTTTGATTGAATAAAGTATAAATGAGGAAAATGTTAATATGAGGCCATCTTTTGATTTGCATTCTATACATAGGTTTTCTTTGGATTTAAGTTGAGAGTTTTGTGCTTTGAAGCACTAGTACCTAATTAGCAATTTTTAAATATTTCATGAAACAACACATAAATTTAATGATAAAGAAGACCTTTTCAATTTGCTATTGGTCTGCAGATGTTAATTTTTTATGTAGCTCTTCAATTAAATTTCAGAGATTAAGAAGCCGTCAAATATTAATCTACTTCCGGATCCCTCAGATAAGAATCTTATTGTGTCATGGTCTCCTATCAAGTGCGACAGGACGAGTGCAAAAAATGCTTACGTTCATTCTTACAGAATACAATATTGTCAGTTGGATGGACTTAATAATTGTAAAGGTGATATAGATTTATTTTCACTCTTGGTATAAATATATGGAGTGTTAATTCTTAATGAACACTTTTGAAACAAAAGAAACAATACATTATATTATACTTATATATTATATTTTCATGTAAAATAGTTGAATTTGATTGGTCGAGAAACATTTGTTAAAAAACACTATTACCAATATTGCAATATTTATATAATTTAAAATTTATAATCTTATACATTCGCTACAGAGGACAAAGCCAGTGCATCTATTCCTGCTGATGGCATGACACGGTACACCATTGTAGGCCTTATACCTGAAAAGAAATATGGTATTTGGGTTGCGGCAGTTTCTCTTGGAAAAAATATTTCAACAAGTGATATGATCATTGGAACTCCTATAAGTAACGGTAAACGAAATCTACAGAGGTGTATCTTTCTCCACCCTCTTTCTAAAATCTTTATAGGTATTTTTCAAGAACGTTTACGTGTCTTTATTTTACTTTTTTTGTCTTTGATCGCCATTAAACTTCTTTAGTGATATACTATTCCAGTTAAACACATACATACTCTGAAGATAATACATGTATTTGAAAATACTTGTGTTCCTTAATGAGAATTAGTTATGCAGGTTTTGGAGATCTGGCAAGTACTCTGAAGCTGACTTCAAAAGGACGTTTGTGTTTCTGATTGATGACTTTTTGGATACCAGGTCTTCTATCAATCTATCCATGGGTACCAATTGCGCACCGTTATAAGCAAACCTATTTTTTTATTCATATGAAGTAGAATTTGTGCAAAATCTTATGCGTGAAAAGAACGCAGTTAGGTTAAGTACTCCCTTAGGTACCTCAGCTAATGCAGAGCTTCGAGAATTCGATTATGACGTCACGGTAAAAACTGTGCAAATGAATCTCGGCCAATAAATACTAATTTTTCCTTTTCATACCTTTTGAATGTAGTCATTTTTCATAAATATTGTAAAAATAAAGCAATGTGTAGCTTATCTTGTCATTATAACACTATTTGAATGTAGAATTAAAGCCACCTTGATCTTTCTGTACTGAGATGACGTCATAGACTTGTTTGACACAGTACAGTTTCTTTGTACTTGAGACGTAGATCAAGCTGTGACTGTAAAATTGAAATAAAAAAAATAAGCGTGATTTGACTAAAATGCAGTCATATTTTTAAATGCATTAATCAGTATTTTCCAGACTTGAATTGAAAGCGATTAGGTTTCATATTAAGCTGCGGTAATGCACATTTATCCATAAACGTAATAACATCACAGGCACAACTTCTCGAAAATCTCAAAAGTTCAACGATATCCGCTTAACTATAAATTATGTTATTTATACACTTATAGCTATTGTCCCTACTATTTGAACATTGCTGGGAGCAAGCTGTGCGCTGTTTTGTTTTGTTTTGTTTTGTTTTTTTTGCTTTTTTTCCCGTAATTTTTACATTATTTCAATGCGTATAATATTAATGTACGAAGTTTATCAAAAGACGGCGAAATTTTATATTATTCCTGGGCATGAGGAAGTTGCCACCACAGAGTCTGACACATCTGTTTCGTTCTTGGATATTTTACTTAAAAAGACGTTTATGGTAATCTAACAACCAAGCTATATGATAGACGCTATAACTTTAACTTTTCTATCGTCAACTTCCCTTACTTATGCAGCAATATACCTTCATCACCTGCATACTGAGTGTATGTTTCTCAGTTGATTCGATACGCAAGAGTTTGCTCAACGTATAACAATTTCTAAATCGAGGTAAATTGTTGACAAGCAAGTTGATGAAACAAGAATATCAGCCGTCTCGTTTAAAGTCATCATTTCGTAAGTTCGATACAATGACCTTGTCAGGAAATACAATTATCATTGAGACAAATGCTGACTTACGTTTTTTTACACTAATTGTTAGTCCATTATTTATACACTGAATTGACGAAGGATTTTTCCGTTATTTCCTGATCATGACAAGGAGCACATAGCGGTGTGACCGGTCAGCAGGGGACGCTCACGCCTCCATTGCACCTGATCCCACCGCTGATGTTTCGGAGGTCCGTGTTTGCTCTTCTCTTATTTTGTATTGTTTTATGGATTTTGAGATTGAATACTGTTCGTTATCTCCATATCCTTCCCAGCACTTTTAGTGTTAAAGAATTTGTCCTTAACAAAACACAATCAATATCAGAGTTAATAATTATTCGTATATAGTTGAACTTTAGCGATCTTTATCGTCGTACATTTTTTCCTAATTTTAAACGTGTCACGTGACAAACAGCTGATGTAAGTGAAGTCGCTTTGGCCAAACTTTTGACAGAGACCCCATACATACATATGCAACACATGTTGTAGAATTCCCATTAAATAAAAACTCATGCTAATAAAAATAATATCAACATAATATTGATTTCCACAGAATATTTTAAGATGTATTTCTTATGAACGGCCTTAACCTAGCTGCGAAGAAAACACTTGTTTTGGCCTTCAACTCGACATTTAGATATATCGACCATGTATTGTCAATTGCACAATGTAGCAATGGTAATTTCCATTCTTATGTCGATACGATATATTCTGGTGAGCTTGAGATAAAAGGTACCACAGACTCTGACACATCTGTAACATATTTGGATATTTTACTTGAAAAAACATTAATGGTAATCTAACAACCAAGCTCTATGATAAACGTGATGACTTTATCTTTTCTTTCGTCAACCTCCCTTACTTATGCAGTAATAAACCTTTATCACCTGCATACGGAGTTTCTGATTATTTCGTAAGTTCTATGGTCGATATTTATACATTGAATTGACGACAGATTTTCCTGTTTTTCCCGATCATGAAAAAGAGCACGCGGCGGGTGTGACCGGTTGGCAGGGGATGCTACCTCTCCATGGCACTTGATCCCACGTCCGATGTTTTGGAAGTCCCTGTTTGCTCTGCTCCTTTTTTGTATTGTTTAATGGACATTTGATATTGAATACTCTTTGTTATCTCTATATGTTTCGTTCTAGAGTACATACTTTGTGCTCAAAATCATAGTCTCCTCTCCAATATCATGAACATCATCTAAATTTATATACATATCGGAGTGGATACGGGTTTGGATTTGGAGCACTATGAATTTGAGCACGGGGTACGTTTTTGAGCATCAGGCCAAGATTTCCAACAACCTTTTGAAATTGTCAATTGTACTTAACGAGATCGAGTCTACTTCGAGTTTTTAATTTCATGCAGACAGAAGTGCGACAATACACCTTTCACAAATATTGTGATTTTAAAATAATATTAACATTACCTGTAACGCCTACAGGTCTGAAAATGGGATTTTACGACAATAATTAGGAAAAACGATGAAATGGCTCCAACAACGTCACAGTTTAAGCTATGAACGAATGACACGTAACTCGATTATACAGGTGTGTGTTCGTAGACGTCCAGAAATATTATACTATAAACGGATGACAAAAATGACAAAAAATCAAAGGAAACATATAAGCAATCTAAATATTCCTATTTTTTTTTACTGAAACTATTATCTGCACCGATATGTGTATAAATACCGCAATATAGCAATTATAGAGGTATTGGCATCGAAATAACCTTGTAATTAAGACCTTGACCAACCTAGATGGTAAACATTTTACAATACCTTCTACCTTCATGACTGAAAAAATCTCTAAGGGAGAAATACAAAAAATATGGGGAAAATGTGATAATTTGGCACTTTTCCAACAAATTCCCATAGAGTTCAATAGTAAAATCTTATAACTTTTGAAATGGTTCCCTAAGAAACCGGGAAGGTAAACATTCGATTTTTAGTACAAATCTTACTACAGTAAAAACTAATTTAAGAAAATTATCAAAATCCCTTGGGTAGAAAAAATTAGACTCGGCCTCGTTAATTAACAGCAGACCTCTTTCTATATTATTTTGAAGCACAATATAGTTTAAAACTGGTAAAATTGCAACTGGAAAGGAAAATCTCTCGCTTTTGTCTTGAATAAGACACTCTTGACTTATCGACAATGTTTAATAAATTTGCAATATACATACGTATTTATTTCATACGTTGATTTTATATATCCTAACAAACTCGAAACTGGATACACAGGGGAGACAAACATGTCAAAGTTCTATTTGAATTTTTAACTTAAGATAATCGTTGGTGTCAAACTAACAACGAAACTGTCTAATATGCGTGATGATTATAAACAATCTAAATGTATTATCATCTCCAGATTCACGTAACAGTATATATCATTATCACCCGCATATTGGGATTGTGTCTCCCATTGATATCGTTTATGTTTCTATATTTCCAAACACGTCTATTTTAAAGTTAAAATATTTTAGAAATGATTTTTCGAGGATTTTAAAATTTATTTTTTTAACTTTTAGATTTGACAAATAGTGATATCTCTCTTATTGTTGCTGGGAGTGTTCTTGGTTTCATTCTTGCAATATTTGGTTTTGTTTGCATCACCAGGTTTGTAAAAAGAACGTAATTTTTGTTTTCATCTATAAATTTCTGCTGATGGTTTAACTGCGAGCTTTTTTAAAGAAAAGGTTTAGAAGCATTAACTCTCTTAATCTATTAATTATTTACCTTTCCTAATGTCTTTTTTTTAGACAAGTAATCAGAAAGATTGGTTTTCGAGAAAAATTTCCCATTCAAACTATTCCAATTGAAGGTAGCGAACAAACTGTAAGTATTGAGATTTACTATTCCAGAATATGTATTTAATTTAATGACTTGAATCATTTGGAAAATTATTGTTTAAGAATCATACTTTAATTTTTAAAAAATGCAATCAAAAAGAAATCAATAAGAATTGCACTTTAATAACTAAGTTTATAACATCCTGAGATTTTGTTTATTTTACAATAGAAAACCAGTCGATATATAGATCCGGATTATACTGAAGAGGTTCTTTCCTTTATGCAAACTGAGGTTAGATTCGAGATAAGACAGAGTTCTAATAAGATAGACTTTAAATCTGAAGGAAAAAAAGAATTCTCTACATTTTAAATCCACTCACAGTCTTAGTTACAAACACTTAAAACAATCCACATATCAAAAAACCTAACAGTCAAGGTTAGAAACACTTATAATCTAAGTAGGAAAATGAATGTCGTGTTGTAAGTCAGAGACAATCAAAATCGAAGGAAGAAAAAAGTAGACTTGTGACCCACTCTACATTTATAAAGACACCATTGCAAATAAAAGATACAATCTGAGTATATAGTAAGAACGCTACGTTTCTCCCTGTTTCATTCCCCTTTTTTGTAATTATTAGACTATTTTCTTAAAGATCCATATTTACACGTAATACACGATATTTACACGATATATGTAAATTACTAGGGTTGTTATCTTTCGCCATTTGTGATGTTGTTTTTGTTGGTTTGATACAAGGCGATCTTATAAAAGTGCAATGAACTCAAGTATACAATATTTATGCATTTTAGGTATCTGATCTCCCTCTAGAGTACAAACAGTACACGAAAGAACTCAACAGAGATAGTGGTCACAGCAGCAACTCCTCAGCACAAAGTGATTCACATTTAAACCATGACTATTTGTTGATAGAAGATCAGAAACCTCATTTTTATGGTATTATAAATCATATTTATTATTATGATATAATAAAACCACATTATGTTTTTTACATAATGAGTTATATTCGATACTGTTTATGACATTAATAAGATACAGATTCATGCACTCAAATCAGTGGTATCAATTCAAATTTTATTTTTTATTATTAAAAATAAAATCCATTCGTTATAAAGTACTTGAAAACAACCAGTAAAAGATTCTAGAAATGCATTTAAAACATAAATATTTTACCCATACTCATAGGACATGGTATACATATATTATATATATATTATATTTTAAAATTCTTTAATCAGCTCACAAGTCAACAATCAACTATTCAGAAAGAATATTAAGATCAGATACAAACGAAGAGTTGAGATCGTCTAGCAGTGAAAGCTTGACGTATATTCCCCCGCTTAAAGAAATCATGGATCCTGGCAGATCCTGTGGGGAAGATAAAGCTTTGGTATACAAGTACAATAAAGATTCCATACAAAACCAGCTTGGGGAATCAAAATGCCCTAAAGATGTTGACTATTTGAGTAAAAGCACACTTCAAGGAAAGTCTGAGCTTTCTTCAAAAGGAGACCATTCTGAAGAATGCAAAGGTACCGAAGTTGAGAGTTTAATGGACAGTGGGTATTTGCAGAACACAGCAATACCAGGACAAAATCTCAGCGCAGAGACAATATCTGATTATATAAGTGGAAAGTTATTCACCAAGAACTCAAGAGAATGTCTTCTTAACAAATATTCAAGAAAGATTACTCCAGTGCTCAAAACATATAAGAAGAATATGGAATTTAATACCAACAACCAAACAGACTCTTCCAATGATGATTCAGATCTCAATAGTTCTAGTGCATCCGATAACATAATAGTATCTTCAATTAATCCAGTTCCCCAATCAATCAGTCTGTGCAGTTCTAGTTCTAACCAAAATGATCAAATGGGAAATTTCGAATTAATACAGACCAAGAATATGGTTGATTGCAATGATTCCTACATTCCTTTCGAAGCCTCTTTACAACAGTCGCATTTGTGTTACTAAAATGTGAACTGTTCAGACAAATACTCGTTGACTACATGATTACAACTGTTGACATTTAAGCAATAAGATTTAAAGTATAGTTTTTATTGTCCATCATAGGATTTCATTATGCACAATAAAAAACATAATCATACATTGATATATAATTCAATGACCATTTACAGTATACAAGTTTTCTTCAAGATAACTGTGAATTATTCAAATTATTTTAAAGAAGAATGTACAATTTAGTCCACGTACATTTTTCGACCAGGTTTTCTTTATTCACATTTTGTATAGTATATTAAAGAAGATATTGAATCTTAAACTACAAACCGTGTTGCTTCATGAAAAATATCTAAGAGTATGAATACTATTATAATAATATTAACAGACAGTTAACTGGAATAAAAAAAATCATTTCAATGATCGCGTCTTGTGTTATTGACAAACCATTGGGAAAAAAAATGAAAAACAACAATATTTATGTCAGTTGGGTATATTTATTTATAGTATTTTATTTTTGTAATGAGATTTTATTTCTTGTATTAATGGAACATATGGAGATATGTATATTATTAAAACAGTAACTTGATCCGAAGGGTCGTATCACGTCGAGTTGACAGGGCGGATCATCAGATCTAACGAGACGTGATACGGCTCTTCGAATCAAGTTACTGTTATAATGATAAAGAACGAGGGCGCTTTTGATTGGCATTCGGCAGGAATCTGGGCATAATTGAAAAGTGAAAATTTTATCGACATGTCACATGAAATTTTAACATTTTTTTTATTTATCGAGTTCCTGTGCAACAGGAAAGGAAAATATTTTCCCGAAATTGAGCTTTGATTTGCAAAAAAATCACTTTAAAATTGGCCAGATCAGACATCTGGTACAAAATGGTACATTTTTAAACACTTTTTTCTAAAATTTTTCTATCTCTGGGTCTTCTCTCCATGATTTTGAAACGTTATTTGTGTGTATTTTAATTCAAAGAAACGAATACACTTTTTTAAAAAATGGAGAGAAGACCCAGAGACCACGAAAAATGAACTTTCCCCCCCCAAAATCCAAATGTGAGAATGTGGTGCTTCTTAAAATCATCTGTGAATATGAAGCGGTGATAGCTCAGTGAGTTGGGATATCTGTTCAGTGCACTGCTATTGAAAAGTTTTTGGTTCGAGCCTGGCATGGGGCGTTAATTACTAAGTAATTGTTTTTTTTTCATGCAAACAACCATTTATTTTGTCAGTTTCGTTTTATGTACTGGTGTATTAAACTTTTGAATTAGATAAATTTTGATTCAGTTTGGTTCTCGAACGAAATCAATTCTAATCTTCTATTCTATAATGTACATGTACACGTATCATGTATCTATATGCATTAAGTATGTTAGGTGTTTATTTTTTGTGAAACACTACTATGTTATAGTACCCTCCAGGAAAAACGGACAAAAATGATACAATCTCACACTTTCAAACTAAATGAAAAAAAACCTATGGACGTGTTTGTAAAATCTGACCAGCTATGTTCAGCCAACCAAATCATGGACATTTAAACCATAAATGTTTCGCACAAATGATTCCTGCAGATCACACGCCAAATACGCCCATCTTCTTTATTATATACCCCCTAATAACTAGCTAACTTTAGCAAAATTAAACTCTAAAGATCAAATGTATAATATTTATCAATAAAACAAAGCATAAAAACAATGGACTTCTTAACGCGTAAGAAAGATAACGTCATGTTTTTGCGTATCACGTCATCAGTTTCAGAGAGTGGTGATATGGATTCAGAAAACCACAGTATGGTGATCCGGAAAGTCGGATCACGACGTCACGTGATTGCGTTTTATTATATACCCATCAATTTCCTTGTTTTTGTTACTGTTAATTTTACAGAGTTTGATCCGATTTTCCGGATCACCACACTGTGGTTTTCTGAATCCATATCGCCACTCTCTGAAACTGATGACGTAGTACGCAGAAAAATGACGTTATTTTTCCTGCGCGTTAAAAAGTCCCTTGTTATTATGCTTTGTTTTACTGATAAATATTGTACAATTGATCTCCAAAGTTTTATTTTGCTATATCTTGCTAGTTATATGAGTGGATATATAATAAATCTATCATTATAACAGAAAATTGATCCGAAGAGCCGAATCACGTCTCGTTGACAGGCGCGGATCATCAGATCAAACTCTACGCTTCGCGTCTCGTTAGATCTGATGATCCGCGCCTGTCAACTCGACGTGATACGACCCTTCGGATCAAGTTACTGTTATAATAATATATATATATATATCTACAGTAAAATTGAGTGATACACATTAGGTACATAATAAAGAACAGTATTCAATATCAAAAGTCCACAAAACAATACAAATTAGGAGCAGGGCAAATACAAACCTCCAAAACATTAGGGGTAGGATCAGATGTCATTGAGGAGTGAGTAACACCTACCGAACGGTCACACCCGCCGTGTGCTCCTTGTCATGATCGGGAAATAACGAAAAAAATCCGTCGTCAATTCTGTAAATAATGGACTAACAAAAAGTATGAAAAATTTCAAAATTTGACACAATGATAAATTGTATTTGCTAATAAGGTCATGGTATAGACCACAGAATTTACGAAATGATGACTTTAAATGAGACTGTTAATATTAATTCGTGTTTCATCAACTTCTTTGTCAATAATTTACTTTGTATTAGAAATTGCTCATACATAGAGCATGCTCTTATGTATCAAATCATCTAAGATATATAAACTCCGTATGCAGGTGATGAAGATACTAGTATATTGCTGCATAACTAATCTTATGATTTTTTACGATTAAAAAGGTAAAGTCGTCCCGTTTATCATATAGCTTGGTTGTTAGATTACCTTGAACACATTTTTCAAGTAAAATATTCAAATATGAACAGAGTTGCCCGATTCTTTGGTATCTTTTATCTCAAGCTCACAAGAATATATCGTATTGACATAAGAATGGAAATTAACATTGTTAATATTGACAATACGTCGTCAATATATCTAAATGTCGAGTTGAAGGCCGTTGCAAGTGTTTTCTTCCATTCACGCATTAGATTTTGGACAAATTCCGCTTCATGTGAATACAAAAATAGGTCTTTCAATAATGGGATGCAATTGATACCCATTGGAATTCCAATAGATTGAGGGAAAAACCTGGTCTTCAAAAACACCATAGATATTGTTGATCAAAACCTAGAGCATCTTTTTGATGTCAACTTCAGAGTATTTGTGTTTACAATCAGAATGTTTTTAAAAAAATAATTTTGTACATGACCAATAACAAGATAAGTAAATTTACGAGTTCCATTTTTATTGATATGATATTATATCAATGATATTAAAAAGCCTGGACTTTAATCTATCGTGTAGAATGGTTGTTTATAAAGTAAATTCGTAAATTTTAAGCAGTCGATTTTGGTAAAAATGTGAATTACTCTTATAATGGTTTTAGTAATCAAAAAATGACTAAGACCTGTTTATGAAAAAAGGTGCTTGAATCATTTCTTTATATTTGTGCCCTTCAATCACCTAACATTGTCACCAATAAAAACTTACAGCTATTTTCTCTTCCCTAAATACAAATAATCTGATCAAAACATTATCCTTCCTAAAAAAAAATTAAATTTTGAGTATAATATTATTTAAACGTAATTAAAAAAAAACAGCTGTCATATTCGACCAGATTAAAGAAAAAGTATAGATATAGATTGGCCAAGTCACGAGAATGGAAACATCACATAAACCAAGTGTAGCCGTTAGATGGACTCCACTGGAAAAGTGAAACATGGCGACATTCAGTCAAAAAAGAGATAACAGATCGGAGATGGACTTAAGTGAGGCATCTTACAGCAAATGTTAGTGGACAGGCAGAGATGTAGGTCTTAAGAAAAGGCCTTACGTGTGCAATGCATGAAGAGGTCTAAGTAAGTTACTTTCATATATGCTTCCTTGGAAAGGCTTTTTTTCTCTCAAAATAAAATAGAAATTTAGTTTATCCGTGACGGACTAAGTAGTGCAATCTTGCAGGGCGTCATTTGCTTTTAAAAATGTATATATTTTTTAATTGCAGTATTTGTAAAAAAAAAAAAAAAAGGGAAACTTTTAAGGTAATTTTTAAATTCATTTATCACTCTGCTTTTTATTCGCTTCTAAAAACTTATTTTTATATTTAAGTGTTTTTCGTGCTTTGTGAAACATACAATATACATGTATTCTAAGCCCCAAATACATTCATAAGCACTTTTTCTTCCTTGTACTCATCTGATGTTTAAAATTTACTTTAAATATTTAGTCTGCTTAATATTATGGGAAAAATTATAATCAAGTTCTTTAAAAAAGGAAACGTGTTTAAAAGAAATAAAAGGAGTAACGAAGCCGCGTGCTTTTATTGAAATGCAGATTTATAATTCGCACACAGAGAAATTTGAAAATGTTATCTGTGTTTATATTTATACAAAGCGCACCCTGATAAGATATGTAATTAAACTTCCTTCTTTATTCAGTTATCAAAATGACTTCTTTTTTTCTGTCCAGTTGTTAGTAGCATTGTTTTCCTTTAGTTACGGTACGTTTTGCTTGCTTTTTATAATTTATATCGGTTTATCAAATCTCTTATCAACTTCCTTAAGATTATAAACCTACAAAAATTATTTTACAACTCAAATGTAAAACCTGCTATTTGACAACGTAATTAATTCTCTGATAACTTTTCCACTAACAGCACGCTTCTGCGCGTTCAAACCTGGTAGAACATTTTACAACAAGGATACTTGTACAGCGTTGGAACATTGTGAAAATGATCAGTTTAATAGCACAACAGGACAATGTACATCAGGTGGACAATGTCAACCAGAATGGATGGGACCAAGCTGTCAGTATAGTAAGGGAAGCTTTATAATCAAGTCAGCTAAATATATGTGATCGTCAACTTACTTGAATCCACACAATTAAATATCAATCGTGAATGTCAGACAGTTGTGATGTTTTATCTTATAAACTTAAAGTTAAACATAAAGATAACACAGGTTTGATTTTTAAGGTAATGTAACAAGATTTACATTGCAAGAAGGGTACATTTCAAGCTAGTGTTTTTATCTCAGTGTTTAAAATCAGATTTCAAGAGCAAATATTGATTTTTTTCTTAACAGGCAAGTTTTTAGCTCACCTGAGCCAAAGGTTCAAGTGAGCTTTTCTGATCAAAATTTGTCCGTCGTCTGTCGTTGTCGTCGTTGTTGTTGTCGTCGTAAACTTTTCACATTTTCATCTTCTTCTCAAGAACCACTAGACCAATTTCAACCAAACTTGCTACAAAGTATCCTTGGGTAAAGGGGATTCAAGTTTGTTCAAATGAAGGGCCACGCCCTTTTCCAAGGGGAGATAATTATGAATTAGAGAAAAATTAATGGCATTTTTAAAAAATCTTCTTCTCAAGAACCACTGGGCCAGGAAAGATGAAACACATATGTAATCAGGCTCAGGTAGTGTAGATTCAAGTTTGTTCAAATCATGACCCCCCAGGGGTAGGGTGGGGCCAAAATGGCCGATCAAAGTTTTACATAGGAATATATAGGAAAAATCTTTTAAAATCTTCTTCTCAAGAACCACTGGACCAGGAAAGATGAAACCCATGTGAAATTATCCTCAGGTAGTGTAGATTCAAGTTTGTTCAAATCATGACCCCCGGGGCTAGGATGGGGCCAAAATAATCGACCAAAGTTTTACATAGGAATATATAGGAAACATCTTTAAAAATCTTCTTTTCAATTTTATCAAAGCCATGATTAGTAATATTTACATGGAATCATCCTCAGGTAGTGTATATTCCAGCACGTTCAAATCATGATCCCCTGGGGGGTTAACATTCAAGCTCCCCCCCCCAACCTTAGTAAATCTTAAGTTCTGATCTGATATGTGTTTTTTCCTAGCCGATGTGCTCAGGTGAGCGCTGTGGCCCCTGGGCCTCTTGTTTTTATAAGTTATGCTAGTCGCAATCTCATAGATACGAACAAATTAAAGGAACTTCTTAAATAAAATTTACTGATTAATGGCACGCTGACCAAATTCAAGATTTAAAGTAAAGAAATCCAGCACTGAAATGCTCTTTCACATGATTCGAAATTGCATCCAAATTTCCCCCCAATAAATTATTGTTTCCCTTGTCATTTAAACATGTAGACACGACCGATGGTCGGGCGACTAAATTTTTCAGGTATTGCCGGCTGAAACAACATGATAGACTGACATGAGTATCGAGCGACACGGAGGAGTCACATTTATTCATAGGAACACCGATGACTAGGATAAATAACACAAAAACTTTTTTCTCTTAAAAATCATCAATATTTTTCATAGATCTATATTCAGATAGGTGACGTGATAAATGTTTGCAAGACAGAGTGGCAGAAGTTTGCAAGATTGTGACTCAATGTTAAAATGTGTGCAAAATTGTGTATAGAATTGCATAAAACACGACTAATGATGCATATATAAGCAGCAAAGAATACTTAAGATTTCTTGATTTCTTATGGATTAATTATTTATGTTATTTCCAATCAAAAAATGTATATAAATCCAAGCATCAAAATTGTGTTTGTGTTATGTATCCTTAATAGGTTAAATATTCACAAGTCGGCCAATCGAAGAAGATTTCTTCAATTTAAGTTATCCCTCGATCATCGTCCGACCATCGGCTGTCAGTTTATTAACTAATGATATCGATGATATCGATCGGGCGAATATTGGCTGACTTGTGTATATTTAACCAATTAAGGTTAAACAGAATTTTGATGCATGGGTTGATTTCAATTTACTAAATCAAAATAGGTAAAATCTCAAGAAGACCCCACACCCCTCCAATTAAAATATTTTAGGCCAAATGCATTTGGAAATAATTTTAAAAATAATAACGACCAAAAATAAACATTCACCCTGAATTTAATTACCATATTATAACTAAAGATGCTACTTTATCATAAGGTCGAAATAAACATATATTTCCCATTTCCCTTACTTGCAACATGATTAGGTATGATAAATTTCTAAACAAATTTTAGCAAATGACCTCATTTCATCTATTCATCTATAGATAATGATTGGTTAAAATAAATATGTGTCCGCATAATGACATGTCTTCTTTCAATAAACTCAGGAAATATACCTATGTTTCTGAAAACCACAACTTGCACACAACCACTCAGTCTCGACATTGTCAGCCATTACACATTTTCTTTCGAGTAGAATGCCATAATACAACTAGACATTAGCAAGCATCACATTTTTCTTAATATTTCAACGCCTTTGACTATAAAAACAATTAAACTTCAAAATGTTGATATAAACTGTCCGGCATTTGCTCAAAGCATGAGAAAAATCGTTAGCATTTTTTCAATCTTATTTCTCCAAACACAGTTCGGTTATCTTTTGGTTCAAGTGCAACTTTTACACATAAACAAGAGGCTTCTGGACCACATCGCAAACCTGAGTAAATTTGGCTATTCTTTTTTTTAACAGGTTTCCAATTTGTAATACCTATTACCTTGCCAAATCCCAATGAGTCATGATTCGAACAATTTAGAATCTGTATACAACCCCGTATGTTTCCACATAAGATTCAGCTTTTCTGGCCTAGTGGTTCTTGAGGAGAAAATTTGTAAAGAGTTTTCCAATATATTTCTATGTAAAATTTGGATTTCCTATGGATTTCCTATCCCTACCCCCGTAGATTATGGTTTGAACAATTCAGAATCTACAATTCTATAATGTCCCAGGATGCTTCCCCATAAGTTTCAGCTTTTTTGCCAAGTGGTTCTATAGAGGAAGTCTTTTTTAAAGTTTTATTCCTATATACTTCAATGTATAACTTGGATTACCTATTGTGGCTCACCCTAAACTTGGGGGTCATGATTTAACCAATTTAAACTCTACACTACCCTAAGTTGCTTCCCCATAAGGTTCAGCTTTTCTGGCCCAGTGGTTCTTGAGAAGAAGATTTTTAATGATTTACCCTATATATTTCTATGTAAAATTTGGAATTTCTATTTTGGTTCCACCCTACCCCCGGGGGACATGGTGTGAACAATTTAGAAACTACAATTCTATAATACCGCAGGATGCTTCCCCAAAAGTTTCAGCTTTTCTGGTCTAGTTGTTTCGTAGATTTTTTTTTTTTTAGGTTTTTCCTATATACTGTGAAATCGAAAATTATCGGGAGGGGGTAATTTTCGTTGCTTTCGAGGTATGGAGAGACCCACGAATTAATGAATACCACGAAATGTAAACTTTCAAATGAAGAAGTACTCAACACTTCCCCGACAACGAAATCAAATCCCCAGACATCAATAACTTTGTTCTCAAACTGCGAAAATTTGACCCCATGAAATAAGTGATTTTACAATACTTCAATTTATAAACTGGGTTCTCTATGTGGCCTGTCCAAACCCCTGGGGGTCAGGATTTGATCAATTTATAATCTACACTACCCCAGAATGCTTCCCAATATGTTTCAGCTTTTGTTATCCAGTGGTTCTGGAGGAGAATATTTTCAAATAAAAATTCCTAAATATTTCTATGTAAAAATTTGGATTTCCTTATGTGACCCTCTCCCTATCCTCGGGGTCATGATTTGAACAATTTAGAATCTATACTATCCCACAATACTTTCACAAAAGTTTAAGCTTTTTTGGCCTAGTGGTTCTTGAAAAGTTTTTAAAAACAAAATCCTTATATATTTCTATGTTGAACTTGGATTTCCTATTGTTGCCCCGCCATACCCCCGGGTGTCATGATTTGAATAATTAGAATCTACACTAGCCCACAAAGCTTTCACAAAAGTTTTAGCTTTTCTGACCCAGTGGTTCTAGAGAAATAAAAAAAAAATTCTATATATATATTTCTATGTAAAACTTGACGTTCCTATTGTTGCCCCGCCATACCCCTGGGGTTTATGATTTGAAGATATTAGAATCTACACTAGCCAAGGACACTTCAACATAAGTTTCAGCAGGTTCTTGAGAAGAAGATTTTTCAAATTTTTTCCCATAAACTTCAAAGTAAAATTTGGATTCCCTAATAATATCGCCACACCCTACCCCTGGGGGTCATGATTTGAACAATCTAGAATCTTCACTACCCTCAGGATGCTTCCCCTTAAGTTTCAGCTTTTCTGGCCCAGTGGTTCTTGAAAAAAAAAAGATTTTTAAGTTTGTCCCTAAATATTTAAATGAAAAATAGATTCCCTATTGTGGCACCGCCCAACCACCGGAGGTCATGTTCAATTTAGAATGTACACAATATGTACCCCAGGATGCTTTCCCAAAAGAATCAGCTTTTCTGGTCAAGTGGTTCTTGAGAAGAAGGCTTATAATTTTTTTCCCTATATATATATATATATTTCTATGTTAAACTTGGATTTCCGATTGTGGCCCTGCCATACCCCCGGAGGTCATGATTTGAAGAATTTAGAATCTACAATACCCAAGGACACTTCCACATACCTTTCAGCTTTTCTGGCCCAGTGGTTCTTGATTAGAAGCTTTATATTGACCCCACTCTATTTTTGTATTTTCTTTTTCTTATCTCCCTTTGGAAGGAAACTTGGTCCTTTATTTTAATAATTTAGATTTCCCTTTACCCGAGGATGCTTTGTAATAAGTTTGGCTAAAATTAGCCCAGTGGTTTTTGAGAAGAAGTTGAAAATGTGAAAAGTTTACGGACAGCTAGACGGACAGACGGAAGACGGACAACGGGTGATCATAAAAGTTCGCTAAGGTGAGTTAAAAATCGTGTCTTTAGTTTTATTGAATCCTACATGTAGGATAGAACCAACTTTTTTATATTAAACTCCCTCTCTCTCTCTCCTCTCGTTCTCTTCCTCTCCTTTACTCCTCTTTCTACCTCTTTCTATTTAAAAAAAATACATCATGTACTAATTCAATGTATGATATTGTAGAAAGAGATGTGAACTGAAAAAAAAGAATCCTAAATGTATTTGTATGATAAGGGTCATTTTCAAAAAATGTCCAAATTCCTGTTATACAAGCTTTTTTGAAAATATTGCAATAAAATCGAAATTTTTTTTTACCCGATGAATTTAACATCAATCTATAAGTGTAGAAAAAAATTAAGTGCGATTAAAAATTGACTTGAATACTGAAAAAAGTCCTTCAACCTGAGTTAAATTAGAGAGAATTGCTTGTGATTTCGCCGGATGTTTGACTTCAACTCTGATTATTGATGTAGTAAATATAATTAAGCAGTGTAAAATGACCTTTATTGTGTTGTACATGTTTAATACTGTCTAAATGCATGCTAAAATGTGATTGAAAAAGAGTAAGAATATGATTTTTTTAATGGTAAGTGTGTGTTATTTTTGCCGTGTCCTTGGAGTAACCAGGACATAAAAGTTATCTGTAACAGTTATCTTTCCTAAAGAAACTCTTCACTATCAGCCTCCTTCTTTTGACCTTGTTCCCGCCAAAATATCATGAGACACTTAACACAGATCTTTTATACCATAGGCACAATATGTGGTTGAAGGCAAGTTTGATTGCAATAGTAATTTATTTTTGAGTCCTAGGAGTTACTTAGATATTGTGAGGATAAATTCATTTACCATTTCTTTGATGCATTGAGCAAGTTTATAACAAAATACCTATCATCTAGGAGCTGTGCTTTATGTTCATAAGTCAGCTATTGCTTTTATGATTCCAATTATGTATATAATAATTCCCTGGTGTTACTGTCCATTTTGTTACTGCAAGAAAAGTTACTCTAAGGACGCATCTAATAACTCCATGGACAATTTACATAGAAAATAATTAAAAAGAATGCAAGTTGGAGTCGTATGTTTTATTTTCCTCCCTTATTTAAAGCTAATCGGTAACTAATTTTTTTTAAATGCCAAATTATTTACTAAATGTTTTTACCATTTGAAAATCATATGATTTTGCAGTCTTGGTTATGCAAAGGACAGAATTGGGTAACTCCGTGGACCAATTGAAAAAAAATCCTTTAAATTGCCAATTTTAATACAACATTTGTGTAAAGTTTATTACAATATAAAATAACAGAAATATTTTTATCAAATTGGCATTTATTTTTCATATTATGTTTCCATGAGCTATAAATTAATTCAATAAATAATTTGAGCAACACAAAGGACAATGTTTGGTAACACAATGGATTTAAAAACGATTAAATATTTAAGTTATTAATATACTATTGCTTGTTCTTTTGTTTCTGTAGGAAAATATACAACTTTTATTCCTTTTGAATAAATTGAAATATCAAAATTCATTATGTAACACAATCATATCCCCTTTTATGCTCTTTAATAGTAACCTATGGTAACACCATAGACAAATTCAGTTACTCAAGGGACACAGCAAGGATTAAAGATAGAAAAATGAAACAAGCGTATTGCATATGGAGTGTTAATTGTGTTCATTGTATTGCAGAAAACAATTGTGATGGGATATTGCAATTAAAGTAAAAATAAAATAATGAAGTGCTAAAAATAAATGATGGTTAAAAATGGTAACACAAAGGAAGTTTTATGTAACACAAGGGAATGTGAAATAAGGCAGAATATGATTTGTTGTCTTCAGTCTGAGGATTCTAGTTATGTTCTCTTGATGAAGATGATGTAAACAAGACACATTAAAAAGTTGCAATGAAGCCAATAGAATCCAAGACGTAAAAGATAGATTTATATCATTGAATTGCAAATACCTTTAAAGTTATATCAGATATGGAACATTTCTTTGCAAATGCATTTAAAATCCTTTAATCATGTAAACCCTTAGATGAAAAAGTCACAAATTGTTCATAACTGATCTAAAAGGATTTCAAAAGATGTTTTTAAGGAGACAATGTAACAGTCATTACCATAGAATACAGTTTTGCATTTAGTTGAGGATGTTCTTCAGATTTGTCTAACTGAAATCCCTCAGGACTGTGTTCTACATCCTGTAAAAGTTGGTGCTGAAAGAAGTTTTTAACCTTGGATGTACATAAGCTTTTGGAAAGTGGTGGTGAAGATTATATAGTCGAGGCAGCATTGGACAACAACAAGGCCAGATATGGTGGCAGGCCACTACATTTCAAGCCACTTTGTTGGATTGTTACCCTGAAGAACTGACAATGAAAGTTTGGCAAACGATCAGTGGATACAAGAACAAAAAGGGCGGAAAAAATATCTATGAAAAAGAGTACAGATTGAAAAAAGTCAAGAGTTTCTGATAGGAAATCCGACTAAAGAAACTGAAAAGACTGACACCCCGGAAGAGAAACAATTGGAGTTCAATAATGAACATCAGACTACAGATGAAGAGAAATCAGATCCTTGGAAGAGAGATTGGATAAAAATACCGAAAAAATGAACTTAAATGTATGCACAGGGTTAGACAGAACCTAAAACCATGTTACATTTTAACAGGCCAAAAACTCTAAAAGATAAAAGCTGGTATAGCATTGCTAATGTTTTAATTATATTGTCACCATCATATCTTGTAGATGTGTATTATGTAGAGAGCTCATTGTGGATAGAGGCTAGCTGTAGATAAATGAAATGAAAATGTAAAATCCATAAAAAGATTAATGCATTCTATATGTTTGAAATCTGGTCATTTACAAATACATGTACATGTATTAGTTTCACAATTATTTCTTCATTAAAAATTAGTTCTAGCTGATCTAAGACTCGTCTATGTAAACCTATGGATCTTTTAAAGATGTCCTTTGTGTTATTTTTTGTCATTGGTGTTACAGCTTCTGCTTGGATATGTAAATACACTAACAAGTACTGATCAATGATTCAAAGTCATGTGATAGTAATCATTTATTATTCGGGCATATCAATTTGATTTCATTTTTCTATTGTCATATATCTTTATGATTGGATAGTTATGTCTATGTCGTTACTGTTTTATCCTTGGTGTTACTAGTCAGACTCAAAATGTATAATGAAAGAAATCCCCCGCCAATTTTTTATCTTAAAACCATATACTCTTATATTCACCTCTAGGGTAATTTCATTACTATCCTTTTTGGAAGGAAGGAGAACAACTTTATTATTTCTTTCTAAGTATTACACAAAATATCCTTAGTGTAACCTTTATGTCCTTTGTGTTATGCAAATATCCTTGGTGTTACCAACACATCTTTCCTATATTCATGTTCTAAATCTTTATACAATTTTATCGAAACTTGCAACACAATACTGTCGTTTTCTAATACTAAGTTTATTTGCAAAGCAAGTATTTTGTGCTGAGGTAAATGATGTATGCTTTAAGTAAACATGTAAGATATAGGCAAAAGTTACAACACTTACAACTTCCAGCAATACTTTATCTGATAATTTTCTGTTATGAAACTTCAGTTTGATTCAATAGAATAATTTTATCACTATGTTGAGATTGTTATCCTAAAAACCTGAATTTTTTTTTTTAATTATGATTTTACTACGACTTTTAAGTAAGTAACACCATGGACATTTATTGTTGAGTCCATGTACATATAATGTTTTTTTTAGTATATGTTAATAGAATTCTTTGTGCTTTAACATCGTTTATGCATCTATGATGTTTGAATGCTAAAATAAAACTTTAAAAAGTTTAGATCGCCACATTTATTTTTGCAAAAAACTGGTGGTGGAATTTGGACAAATTTTGAAAATGACTCATAAATGTATTCATAAATAACAATTCTGGTTTCTCTGACTGATATTTTTTTTTTTCTAATTCTGTCATAAGATTTAATAGGACAGTATTAATGTTTACTTTTAGTTAACCTGGCATACAGATTAAGTACCCTTGATCCTCTTTTTGACGGAAATTGGAGCACTGATGCAACTAGAAAGAATGTGGTTATACAGCTTGAAAATACTTTCATCGTGTCGGCCATAAATATAATAGGTAAAATATACTGAAACTTTAAAAAAAAACAACGCAACAAGCAGCAATCTACAAATATTTGATTTTTTATCTTATGATTTTCAAAAATGAATACATTGAGGCTAAACATCACTCGCGAGGAGTGGTTAGAGCGTCTGCTCTAGAATTGCGAAGTAAGTAGTGAATCCTTACAGAGCGTGTTCAAATCCCATTGTGGGACGTGGAGACCGTTCCTTCGGATGAGACCATATACATTGATTAACGAGATCTCATGTCGCAGTAGGTGCTAGCACGAAAAAGATCCCTCCATGCTCAATGGCCCTGAGAGCCGAGTTTTGGAAAAAAATTGCAGCTCTCCGCCTGCATATGGTGGTGTCTCCATATGAGTGAAAAATTCTCTAGAAGGACGTTACACAATAATCAATCAATCGATCAATCAAAAAACTCACAGATATTTGATAAAAATTTTAAACGTTTATATTCTAACTTTAGAAAGTTATACGAGGGTTGTCCCAAAAAAACGCGAACTTTTTAACTATACTAATTTCATAAACTACCGAACCAAAATTAATCATTTTAATTGGTACAATGTTGGAGAACGATATTTTCTTCATTTTGGATTAATAACATAAGATTGTCACGTAATATACATTTAGAAACAGCATTAAAAGGGTTTTCAATATCGATGGTCGGCGCACGAGGTAATTTCTTGAATAATGAAATAAAAATAGGAAATGAATTATTTTGGTCCGGTTTATGACATATGTAAAAAAAAAAACAACAACACTCGTACAGATAAGAGGTTTATAATACAAATAGGAAATTATAAAATACAAATGGATAAATTTAGAATGCTAGTGAAAAAATATACAATTCAAATGATTTTGTTGGAATACAACTGGGAAATAACAGAATACAAAAGGGAAAAGAAAATATATTGCAACGTTTGATATGCCAGAAGAATTTACTTTTATAATTCAGCTCTCATATAAAATGTTGATCTCAAAAGTAAATTACACATCGAAAACAACTATTATGTTAACAATACATGTACAAGTTAATATAATTTTATTATCCAGGCACGCAAGAATTTAGTGAAAACTGAACGTACATTTCTTTAGTTAGTTTAAATACAATTTTAATATCAAAATTGAACATTGATGCATAATTTGATGTTGTTCTAAACCGTTTGTATTTCTTTACAAGGCAACTTTTCGTCTGGATTGACAGTATCAGTCGAAGACAATATTGGAAATAGCTGTTACCGAGGTTTATTTCCTGAGAATACCTGGACTATATTCTGTCATAGAGTGTTGAAAACGAGTGTTTTAAGTATATCACTCGGTTTTCAAATTAATGTCAAAGAAATAGAAGTTTTTGGAGGTAAGATTTGGCAACGTTTAAGAGAATCAAAATCTCGCTATTTAAATTTCTATTGAATTAAAAATCTGAATATCTCTATTGAATTAAATCGTGTGTTATCCATGACATTTAAAGGCATAAACGTTGCACTGTGGAAGCGGGCCTATCAGTCAAGTGTCTATCAGAGCAGTACATATGAAGCCGACAAAGCTGTGGATGGATCAGATGGCGGACATGATTTTAACTCTAATTCCTGTACTCATACATCCGGTAATGAATTTCCTTCGTGGACAGTAGCACTGGGAGACTTTTACTCTATTATGTCAATACTCATAGCCAACAGAGACGACCAAAATAGTAAGAATACTCGTAAATAGAAATCTATTATTTTACAAATACAAACCCAACTGTTCTTCCCAACTTGGAGTCAGAAAAATGATATACGAGGGTTGTCCGTAAAGTTCGTAGACAAGCTAAAAATTAAATAAAAGTTGTGTCATTGATATTTCTTATTAGATATTTTTAATCCTTTACATAATGTGAATTGAAAAATGTAAAATTTTATTCAATTTCAAATGTTTAATTGCAATTATGGCTTCATAATTAGACTTGGAATTGAGACCCGGAGCACCGCAAAATTTTAATTAAAACATTATTTATTATGTTTATAAATTACATTTGTATTCTATAAAATTCCTCAGAAATCTGGCTGACTTTTACATTATGTGGTTGACAGAAGTTATCACATCAAACCTGCAAAATTTGAACGTTCAAAGTTTCGAAATGGCTGAACAATCTTATATAAAGACAGGACCAGAATTGTTCAAAAAATGGACATTTTCGGAATAGGTGGTGCTGTGGGCAATGATAAAATTCTGCGTAGACATCGGGAAAACACCCACAGAGAACAATACATTCTGTAAGCAATCGGAAAAACATAGTTAAAGAGGCTGTTAATTAGTATTTAAGTGACATACATGTATAACATTTTCGGACAGAGTTAACAGTATACAGGATGACATGCGTTAAGGAAAACCATCATTTCGAAATAGCAGTGCTGTAAAAAATGAATTTCATAACGTGACATTGCCATATATCCGTGAATAAGTCTCCGAACGGAGTTTCGATGATTGCAGGATATGAGACAGGCATTGTTAAATATATTTTACGTCTGAAACCTGAACATTTGTGCACATTTTTATGACTGGATAAAGCGACATAACAAATGTATTGAGTTAAACGGTGACTATGTTGAGAAAAGTACCATGTACACGTATTAAGCTTTTGACGTCGGGTAACGTCAAGAATTATTCGTTTTAGTGCTCCGGGTATGAGTGTGTGTCTTTTTTGTATCTGATCAAAATATATCTAGTTGTGCTTTGTTTTTGTTGAAAACTTGCATAATAATAAAATGAAACATGACTTTAATGAAAATTATAGTTTCATATATTTTATCAAATGTTTGTCAGTAATTATCAATGTTGTCCACGAACTTTACGGACAACCCTCGTACATGTAAGATATGAAAGCAAATAGTAAGAAGAAGGTATGGTTTTAGCTTTATTGCGCCCTAAAAATGTAATGACATCAAAACGTTTTGAAACTGGCTTAAATATTAGTTAAATAAATGATTCTGATAAATCAGGAAAGAATATGGCCTGAAAATTTACCATTCTGCAAATATGACATCATAAATGTGAAGCATTTCTCTGTTTTCAACAGAAAAGGCCTCAAAATGGCACATTTCAAGGGTGATTTTCCTTTAGAAAACAGTGTCCACAGCCGTCGCCCACGTTAATTTTTTGATATTTTGTGCAAAATTCAATAACAAATCACATATCTCAAGATCTTTGTGGGCGATGCCTGTGGACAATGTTATCTGAAGGAAAATTCCATTGAAAATTGCTGTCTTCTGCAACTTTTTAAGAAAATACGGGAAAATGCACATGTTTATGACGTCATAATTAGCATTTAAAATCACATTTGAGATTAATGACTTGTATGATTTTTTTTCATTGAATTTCAATTATTTAAAAAGCATGAGTTTTCAACTTTTAGACCAGTTTCATTTTTTAGAAAATCACGGGGCAAAATTTGTATAGAAACCATACCTTCTTCTTTCTGTTTGTACAGTTAAAAAATGTATTTGTAAAACACTTATACCCTAGTGTAACGTAAAATAAGTGGTGACGGTTAAAGTTTCTCTAATGCAAATCAAACTTCAAAGTCAAGAGATAAAGAAATGCTGATACCCCAATAAGAAATTGTATCATTGAATGTACCTGGGAAGTAAAAAGCCAAGCATAAAACATTTAAAAGTTATGGCCAAGATGAGGAGATTTCAAAAGTAAGTCAAATTCCAAGGTCTAGGTCAAATTGTCGAAATTATTGATATTCAAAGTCCCTCGAGGACATGTTACAAGGATATAAAAACCCTAGGACTAAATGTTTAAAAAGTTATTGCCAATGTTAAAGTTTTCAACAGTTTGTCAAACTCTAAGGCCAATGTTAAAAGTTCATATGTATATTGATACCCAAGAAAGTCACAAAAATATGATTTAATAATAAATTATTATAATTAACAAAAAAAAAAATATTGGGAACAGCAGGTCAAATGCGTTGAAACCAACAGAGATGACTTGTCACAAGAATTTTTTTTTAGCCTAAATTCAATAATAACTGGGTTTGTTTTTTGCTATAAAAACAGCCTTGAGGGGAAATATGCTTCTTGATGAAAAAAAAAAAAAAAAAAAATAAAAATAAAAAAATAACCAAAGGGCTAAGATTAAAGCTCCAGTAGTTCTGGAAAAGTTGAATTCTAAAATCAGACTACTTAAAAGACTTAGCCCTCCCCAACTTTTTTTTTGCAAATTACATAATAAATTGGAGTGTACCTTTTTTTGTTGGTTTAGCCCCCCCCCCCTTTCAATAAGCCCACCCCCACTTTCAATTTGCTTCAGACGCTTTTGAAACATATAAATGTGTAATAGGAAACCTTGCTTTGAGCTTCGACACTAGCTGCGATAAATTAAGTGTGATCCATAGACTAATGATTAAGGCATGCAGTATTTTTCTTGAAAGGAAAACGAATAGATGGATTTTCTATAACCGGTAAAACAAGAAGTGGGACGGCTATACCTTTCTATTCTGATGTAAGCCCACCGTCAACCGGAAGGAGGGATATCTGGATAAACTCGGGAAATATCACCTCGGAACCTGTGAATGAGATTACAATTCATGGTAATAACCGTACCACGAAGAACGAAGAAATTTCCATTTTTCTGCCTAGCGAGAAGACATACGAGCCCAATATGCATTTTTTCAAAGACCCCGCATATTTCCAAATTACCCCACTAAGTGTCTTAATAACGAATTATCCTGCAAATGGTTCTCTGAAAGACTAAATATTTATAGTGTCGATATATCGCTTTCACTGAGAGAGGCAAATTGTTTTGCATCCACTATGTTGATGTTGTCGCCTGACGCACTGTGACGTCAGAAATGAAGCTCATTGATGATGTGTGGTTGGTAAATTTCATGTATGTTTAATTTCTGGTGGGTAGGTCAAATGGAGGGGCACATTAGCAATGTAATGTGGGTTGGCAGCATTACATTGTTAAATACAGTATTCCTCTGAACCAATGAGACTTCCAACATTTTTATCAGAGACAGGATAAACTGTTATATCCGAAGTCTCACAGTGGGATTCAAAACTGGCGTGCGACTTAATTTCGCGAATCTATATCGCGTACGTCCCATCAGTTCTCTTTCACCAAATGATGTTTTGTGGCAAGTATGGTTTTTTCTGGAGAAGTGAAGAACAGGCAGCACACAGAGTTTTAAAATAGTTTTTGTTGTCTCGTCACAGATGTTTGCATTATATGAATGTGACATGGATTTGTGCGAAAAACCATGCGAAATGAAAAAGTGCGTAGAGCTGTACATTTATAATGCCGTATTGGTTTTAATGTGCACCTACTGTTTTTATATTTATGTTATATTTATCATTTTACATTAGTTTAAATATCATTGCAAATGCTCCAAGTAGACGTATAATTAAGGATGTAGAAGAGAAATGTTGAAAAGGATAGCATATCTATAATTAGGACAGCATTCGAAATCGATCCTGGTGCAAATTACGTCACTTCCTTTTCGCAGAGGACTTACTACATGTACCACGCACTCAATCACGCATAAATGTTTTACTATCTCCGTTGCGAGGGGATACTGAACTAACAAGTATTTATATTTATTGAAACAATTTTTAGCATGTGTACCCAGTGAAAGTGGACAAAGAAAGTGTGTGGGATATTGTCCCCAAAACTGTGAATCTTCAGACGAATGTCTTAATGACAACTTTTCTTGCTCAAAATGTCTTCCCGGTTGGAGTGGACCGTTCTGTGATCAAGGTAACTAGGTGTAAACAAAATATTAAAATGATTTTTATAAAATTGTATTGTGAAAAATAATATTTGTTTGTTTTTATAGTTCATGTACTTTCTACAATTTTCCCATGTAAGACATAATAAATTATTCATTTAAGTTTATATTTCAAAGAATTTATCAAGATGTTTTTTTTCAGAAGATAAAAAAAACTGAAGACATTCAGAATATTTATAAAGAATCTTAAGATAAACCAATTAATTTTTTTAACACAAAAGCTCAAAATCGTGCTTAAAAACTAATATTCAATTAATATTTTTTTAACAAAGTATATTTTGCATTCCTCTCTCAATGCTTACACATTAATCTTAACTGGTTCTATATATTAAAAAAATACAAATGAGAAATTAAAAATGTCTCTTTCTGACATTAAAAAAGTAAAGTGTTTTTTAAAATATCATATGTTGAAATATTGTGTATTGATATACCAATCGCAAACACAAAACATTTTAAAGCCCTTCTATTTGATGTTAATGCAATTGTGATTTGCTGTTACATGCATTATTTATTAAAACAATTAATTGAAGACAATTTTCATATAAAAAGGTAGTCTTAGCCACACACAGTATGGTTTGCAAAGGAATTTAAACGTTATATTTACGTATAAGTACGGAAGCCCATTTAGGACCTATCAAAAATATTTTTGAATTCGTTATAACGATTTTTAGAATTCGTTATAACGAATTTAATTTTTTTTATAACAGATTTATTGAATTCGTTATAACAAATTTAATTTGTTATAACAGATTCATTGAATTCGTTGTAACGAATTTAATTTGTTAAAACAGATTCATTGAATTCGTTGTAACAGATCAATTTAATCTGTTATTACAGATTTGTTGAATTCGTTATAACCAATTCAAAATTCGTTAAAACAAATTCTTGAATTGATTATAACGAATTCAACAAATCTGTAATAACAGATTAAATTCGTAATAACGAATTCAATAAATCTGTTATAACAAATTAAATTCGTTATAACGAATTCAGTGAATCTGTGATAACAAATTAAATTCGTTATAACCCATTCTAAAAATCGTAATCATGAATTCAATTATATAACGAATTTCTAAAAATCGTAATCATGAATTCAATTATATTTTTGATAGGTCCTAAATGGGCTTCCGTATATAAGAAAAAAAAGCAAAATTTTATTTATTTCACTTTCAGGATCTCTCATGCATTTATACAATTTAAATTGTCCAAAAAGGTCTTTTCCCCATTTACATATGCATGAACTTCTGTTCTTTTTTGTAAGGGAGTGGGTATGGATCAATTCAAAGTTGTACATGTTATACGTTTAGTTGTGAAATGTAATTTTATGTGCGAAATGATGACAATAAAATCCAAAGATTTTCTTCTTAGAGCAAATAGAAGAATGTGTCTTTTTCTAGCGTTAAACTACGGTAGTAATCGTATATACGTATATTCAAAAAATTATCTTCCCTTGGTATAGGGATAAAATAAAATCCAAATTTAAATGACACACTCAAAGGTTGAGTTTGTCATTTAAATTTGGATTTTACGCATATTCATACAAACTTGTATACGTAGTTACTAATAATGCAATTCATTCATCTCTAATTCGCAGCTTTAGAAGTCATACTGGTACTTCAATCAGCTTTTTTAGTCCAAAAAGAAAAGGATGACTGCACTTAACGCCGGTTTTTTGGTCTTTTTCAATCTCTGTTGTCACATTTATTTTTGTTTTTATTTTTGCCTTAAGTCATTTGTTATAGAGTTTGGTCTATTTCCAAATGAAATGCGATGTCAAATTGGTTATAAACTGCCTTGCAATAAAAAAATTTGTTGTTTTCTTACCCCACCTCTCTGCAAATATCGAGAAATTAGACTTATCTGCCTTGACTGAAGATAAGATTGATAAATATGCACAAGAGGTGGAACTAATATTGTAATGAGTGGTCTAAAATTAGAATAGTTATACTGTATTTATACTTAGTGCATTTCTCTCTCTCTCTCTCTCTCTCTCTCTCTCTCTCTCTCTCTCTCTCTCGTCATATATTTGTCACTATTTTTTTTAAGTTTTCAAATAAAGTATATAACTAATAACATCGACCGGTAGAAGTAGCCATTGATAATCAACAGCAATGGCTGATGTCAACAATTCGCGTTTTAGAATATAAGTACCTACTAGCTCAGTCGGTAATGCACAGAATCAAGAGAAAGAAAATGCACAGAATCAATAATATTGAGGTCTGGGATCGAGACCCGCTAACAACAGTAAGACGTACTTTGTTTTTCCCTTTTTATAAAAAAAAAGAAACAAAAACATAACAATTACTTGAGTTTTTTTTATTTCTTTATACCCGCACTTTCTAAAGAAAGTTCGGGTATATTGTTTATAATTACTTTTCCCCATAAATAAGCGTGCTAAGGATGGTATGATTTCATTTTTAGACGGAGGCTGTCCTACAGCCTCCGGTTATAGGGATTGTCTTGCCCATGGAATGTAAACAGGAAAGATTTCTCAAGCACCATCTATCGGTGGAATTGTTTTCATTACCTTGAGAATCGACTCTTAGTAACACCGACCGCAAGGTTAGGCATAGTCTAAAACAAAGATCGCGTCACATACAAGTATGAACAAACAGTTCTACTTTTTCTAAATAAACAGGATTTGTCTAATATTTAAAAATGACGTGTATGTAAATACATTTCCTACGGAATATGTAACAAAGAATGTGATTTATACTGTTTGTTTTTTATCAGACAAAATATTAGGAGATTTTGTTCCAACAGACGATGATAAAACGTGTTTTACAATATGCCGAGCCTTTTCCCACTGATTCTCACACCAAAACAAGAACGAGAAGAAATGAAGTGGCGATCTAGAGGGAGTTGGGGGGGGGGGTTTAACATCCGCGGAGAGTGATCGAGGCATCCCACTTATCAATTGCTTCTTTTATTAAAGTAAAAACTATCTCTAGTTAAAGATATAAGTTTAACTTTAGTTTTATATTTAATTGTAAAAACGTCCACCAGAATTCGCCTGTATCAAACTAAGTGTGGAGACGCAGGCCCCAGGATCATGAAGCATCTTAGAGTCAAAAAATGCATTAGATGCTGAAATTATTTAGATGTTAAGTAGCCCAAAATTAAATAGCCATCTGATTTTGTATCATCAGTCTGCTGTTGTATGCAAATTATGAGTTTCCTTTAACAAGTTTTAAAGATTTTATAGATAATTGAAATTTTGACTTAAGTCTTAGTCTGTTTCATGATCCCGGGGCCAGATGTACTTGTATTATGTATTGAAGAAAATCCTTTAATGCCGCATGCAAATTTTTTATGTCGCACGTTTAAATATAAGATATTTTAATAATAGATCAAGCATTTCAGTTTTAATGGAATTTTTTGTGCTTGATTTGTAATCTCATTTTCACTCCTTTTCTAATTTCTTCTTGAAAGGGCCGATAAATTGGTTTGCGGCCGATTTTTGACGCTTGCATCAATAGGTTTTATGGAGTTTTTTAATCTGAAAAGGATCGATGAATGACCAAATGCATAGTATTTTTATCTGTAGGAATATTAACAGTTTAGTTTTGGATTCTTTATTTGTAATTATGTATAATTTTAGGAAACACATGAAAATAGATTTACACTTTTTACAAGCGGTTTGAGTGTTTGGGGTACCCTCACATTACATTTGTAACTTTTGACCTTTGGGCACAACCCAAATCTTGGTTCATAGGATTTACATGATTTATCACATTATTTCCTAATTAATAATTAAAAATTATATCTTCTGAAATAATTAAGTTGTCTTATTGTCATATCATTGATCCTTATTTGCAGTTGATACTTGTGTTTTACCTCTTTCACATCTCACATCTCAAACTTTTTTTTATATACAAGATTACATGTATTTCTGATCATTGGTATTCATGTCAACTTTTTTTTTTTTTTTTTTTTTTTACATTTTTTGGGTTAAATCTGTCATATGATAAAATACTACATTTAATAATTCCAGAAATATTGGTTGTCGAATTTGTCAAGATATATCTTTGTTATTGTAAGCAATACCCCAGTTCTCCAAAAACAATTTAAACTTGTGAAATAGCAAGTATTATGAACTTTATTGTTCTGTTTACTTTAAGTAAGAAAGTATATTTTATTCCACTCAAAAATTGTGTTCTGGAACGAACATTTATTGCATGTTAATGACTTTATATTACTTAAAGAAAATTCTGTGTTGCATAAAGCCAGATCACTCCATTTTGTATCACAAAGGTTTAAGACAAACTGTACTATATTATGTTGTTCATGTCCAATTACCTGGCTGCTTCTTTTTCCATGTTAGCTCATATCATAACTTTATTACAATAAGGCCGAAAAATGTTGATTTTGGTAGCTGTTACATGTCATAATTATGTTAAAAGTAGGTCTCTGTGACGTATAAAGAAGATATCTTGAAATATGGAAACTCCTGACTGGCTGAGGCCTATTGCTGAATCCAGAAATTCTGGAAAAGGGGGGCCAGTTTGAGGTCAGGGAAGGGGCCAACAGCCGCAATTAAAACACTCATTTATCAAATATTGTGTATTTTTTTGGACTCAAAAGGGAGGGGGCCAGGGGCCCCTTTTAATTCCGCCAGTGGGCTCATGACTAGAACATACTAGACCTACATTCATCAAATCGGGCCTGGGGGCATACAACTTATATTAGACAAGCTCACCTTTGATCTCAGTCTTGCTTTTCCAATATATATTCTTTAAGTGAGACTGGGATAAAAAGTTAGCCCGTCTAAGTTTTATGTTAACCAGGCCTAGTCAATTAATACTGTTTCTTACGTTGAAATGTTTAATATTGAAAGTATCTCATCTAACATCTTTGCTAGCCAAGGGTTTCCGATCCGATACCTACTTTACAACCATTGGCAGATTTGGCCGAAAATTTTAGAACTCGCGCAAACGAATTTGATTGGCTGCGAAGTCCGAGTCTTCACAAGGTTTTTACTAATCGACGATTATCGGCTGAATTAAAGTCTGTTCATGTTTTATGCACAAAATAAAAGGAATATTTACAATGGATGAAAGTTAGGACGTGATCTATGCTTAAAAAACAAGGGATTTATTAATTTGATTTTTTTCTTTTAATTATATATGTTTTCAAGAATTATTGAAAGGACCAAATAAGTCCGTGTTCCACATTTTAGATGCATCAATTTAAGCCAATCAAATGTCACGGCTCATTGATAATAATTGATACGGCAACAAGTAGAAAGTAGCGTCAAACTCTTGACTAAAAATCCAAGAAGAACGATACTTTCTTCCACTTTTGAGGTGTGCCCACTGCCCACAGCTGTATGAAGTTATTTGGAATATATTCCACATGGAGGTCGCCATATTGTTTCAAACGTCATATTGATCTTCATATGTTACAGCTATTTTCATCAGACAAATATTAAAGAGCTTCAAGGGACTTTACGGCGATAGGCGGCGCAATCAAAGTTCCCGTTTGATAGGACTAAATCTGCCAAGGGTTGTAGAGTAGGTATCGGATCGGAATCCCTTGGCTAGCGAAGATGCTCATCTAAATAACAGTGAACTTTAATCATGGCGAAGTTTACATTACAAAGATGAAATTATAATATCCCCAAAACCTCATGAATATTGGAGTATCCTTTGAAAAAAATGTTGAATTGAAAAAAAACACACATTATTTCTCAAAATATTCTTTACAGCTATGTATGATATATATATATTTCTTTTGTGTTCTCTCATACATGAAGCCTCCGTCTAACAGTACTTTCAGTACTTTGATTATTTACTGGATCTTATTCTGGATGTTCATGTTAAGCAATGGATCAACACATTATAAATAAATCTCTTTTTTCTTGTAGACTACGAACATGTAGAGACATATAATATACTCAAAAATATATAAATATAGTAAAATGAAACGCTTTTGAGATAAATATAAGAATAACTTTATAGATATCTAAGAGAAAAAAGAATAGCTCGTGGCTCGATGGGAATGGATTGAAACAGATATGGACAAACACTATCGCCCAGCAGAATGCGTGTTTCCTTACACGTCACGTGATGGAATTTTAGTATTCACAGAGTTACCTGGGTATAGAAATCACGTGGTTAATTATAATATTCAACAGGTAACAACGTGGTCAAAATGGCCTGTTTACTTTAGAGAAAGTGAACAAACGAAGAAACAGTTTTTTCTCTTTTTAACCATGAGCACATGTTTGTCTATTGATCTCCTTTAAATATGAGGTAATATATATAAATATACAACTACCATAAAAAGGAGAACAATAGACAAACATGCGTTGACTATGTGTCAAGCCTGTAAAAAGGTGGGCGTACTCATTAGCCTATGGAGATTCCAGAATATGCGATGACCCCTCCCAATACGAACTTTTAATTAACGTAATTACACAAAATTGCAGTCAAGACATTGGCCATTTCTACCATTAAAAGAAAAATGCCCATTTTTTAAAATTAATTATATGTCGCAATATCTAAGATTCCTTAAGGTTCATAAACCCTCTGCTCACTCATATGAAATTTTTCTTTAACTTTTATGATTTTCCAAAGGAAGTGTATATGCTGAATAAAATTCATACAATTAAAGCATGGCTTGTGGGGCAAAATTTGACAAAATATTCACGTAAACTTGACAAATTTATAAAGGAATAATAGACATCTGTGTCATTAAGAGTTAACTCTCTTATCAGAGTATCATTGTACCTTTCCTGCAGTCATCCTTTACTAAATAGCTTCAACGTTAATCATATAAAGATTTACTGATTTAAAAAAAATCTTTATTTTAAGGTGAAATTAATGTTCTTTTTATTTGAAAACAGCTGATTTCTGTTTATCCTACCTCCACATGCTATACACTTTCGTGAATATTTTATCTTATTCATAAACAGTCTCACTTAATTTTACCAGAGCTACTTCTAACTTCTCAAGCATAATATTCTTTTAATTTAAATCGATAAATAAAAAGTTCCAAATTTACACACTTGAAAGATGACCTTGTTATAAAGCATACATCCATTTCTATTTGTTTTTTCTGTGATAACTCTTTGAAAGCTAGTGGAGTTGATTTAAGGAATAACTGTCTTATTTTTCGATTTAATGATGTGATCAATCGATTGGCCATGAATTGCGTCGGCGTTTATGCATAAAAATATCACGCAAGCCAATCGATTGATTATCGTAATGAAATTGAAAAAAATCTGACAGTTATTCCTTATATTTACATGCTTTGTTTCCGCCAATCCACGTGCCCCAAGCCCTGCTTCTGTCTAGCTATTTGTCCCACCCTGCACGTGATATTTTTAACCGCGCCAAAACATAGATTAGGAAATAAGGTACATTTACAATTTGTAATTTTATATAGGATAAAGACATTGGAAATGTAAATATTTCTTGATAATTCTACCGGAATGCAAATTAGGCAAATCAATAGGTCAGGAGCTAAGGAGGCCTAGTATGCAAGTAAATCTCGTGCACGTCAGTCTTTGTGTCTGATGCTAAGGGGACCAAATATGCATGTAAATCTCATGCTACTGTATCTGTGTTTGACGTCAGTGGGTGAGGATTATTGAAATTGATATTGTGATATTGGAGTCCTCGCGTAAATTAAATCTATCAGTCTACATTTTTAAAATCTAAATCTACAAATCTTGTTTACAATGAAATGGAAATATAAGGAATCGCTGTCGAGTTGTATAGTATGCCAGGGACATCAACGATAGTAGGAAATATGGAATAAATTTATGCATAGTAGCCTTCGCCTGTTCTGCAAATTATCCCACGTATGCCCTGACATATTGTACTAACTATACATTGGTTTCTTAATAAGCTCGCGACGAAAATTAGTTTAAAAGTTTATATATTTAGAAGAAGCTCGAAATGATTCTCGTTAAAATTGTTGCGTTAATTGTATTTTATTTTCTAGAAACATCAAGTCAGCAACGTGAAAAGTACTGTAATTATCAACTTAATCGTAAAGCAAACAACACGAACGGTTGCACAGCACTTCAACACTGTAATAACGTTAACAAATTTGATGAGAGAACTGGTGATTGTACTGGACAGAATAATCAATGTAAGAAAGGCTGGATGGGACCAGGATGTCAATACGGTAAAGTATAGTGATTCGGCGAATTTTATTTTAATTAATATAAAAGTGAACACATATTTATTTCGTTTCACTTGCAGTCTAGATAATGCATGGCACCTCACTTAGCAGACCTATTTTTCTATTCATATGAAGCGGAATTTTTTTTCCAAAATCTTATACGTGAAAAGAAGAAAACACTTGCTATGGCCCTCGACTCCACAATTAGATATATATCGAAGACGTATTGTCAACTAAAAATAGCAATTTCCATTCTTATGTCGATACGATATATCCTGGTGAGCTTTAGATGAAAGATACCACAGAGTTTGTCTTATCAGTTTCAAATTTGTATATTTTACTTGAAAAAACGTTCGTGATAATCTAACAACCAAGCTGTATGATAAAGGTGATGATTTTAACTTTACAATCGCCAACTTCCCTTACTGATGCAGCAATATACCTTCAGCACCTGCATACGAGGGAGTTTATATCTCATTTGATTCGATACGTACGGAAGAGCATGCTCTACGTATGAACACTTTCTGAAACGAAGTAAGTAATTGACAAACAAATTGATGAAACAAAAATATCAGCTGTCTCGTTTAAAGTCACAATTTCGTAAGTTCTATGGTTGATACAATGACAATGTCAACAAATACAATTTATCATTTCGTGAAATGCTGACTGTCGTTTGTTTTACTAGTTGTTAGTCCGTTATTTATACACTGAATTGACTACGGATTTTCCCGATTATGGCATGGAGCACACGGTGGGTGTGACCGGCAGGGGATGCTCACTCCTCCATTTCACCTGATCCCACCTCTGATGTTTTGGAGGTCCTTGTTTGCTCTGCTCCTATTTTTGTTATTTGATGGACTTCTGATCTTGAATACGGTTTGTTGTCTCCGTATGTTTCATTCTAAATCTTTTCTTGCAAAATCCGTAATAAGAAATTTAAAAAAATCATGTCTACCCTAAATGAAATTTGTTTCATTTCATCACATTTTTTGCAAAAATGAGCGATATAGAGCAATTATATTAAGGGGGGACCTATGTCGTTCGACGTCAAAGCAGCTTTATGTGACGTCACAATAGCGACGTTTGTTTTTTTCCCGCTGACTTTTGCAACTGTGATTATAGGCATAACATTGTTATTAATCAAAAACGTACACATTTTACAATAAGAATTTTTTTTTCATCATTTAAAACAGTTTTATTTGATTTATGGAGTTTGTTAATATCTCTTCCTTTGGTTGATAATTCATAGCAATTTCAGTTGTGAAGAAATACCTCTATGATATGCTGGTATAAAAATGAAAAAAATATAAGATAAAATTCAGCAAAGACAGCGGCTTAAATAAGGGAAATATGTTTAATTTTATGATTACCATTAATTGTATTTTCTGGATAAAACTAAGAAAAATAAAGAAATGTACTTGGACCTATATTTACTTATTGATTTATAGTGTATGTAGATTTTATTGTATAAAGTCATTCCTATTAGGTGGTGGTTGTTGACGGGGGGGGGGGGGGGGGGCAGAATGATTAGAATGAAGAAAAAAAGAGTATATCTGTTTAAAATTTTAAAATATTTCTTATCAAAACAAAATACTCGTTTTTTGCAAAATAGTTTTATATTCAGATGTTTGTCAGTGCTAACTTACCTTTTATTTTTTTAGTGCATAAAGGTCAATATTTATGACAAAAAAGTACGAAAATAAAAGAAAACGTTATATTTCTCGTTTATTTTATCATAAAGGTATACTTTTTTCCTTGTTAAAATAAAGGGAGGGGTCATTTCTTTCAAAAAATATGAATTACCACATTTTCACACAAAGACTTTTTAAGATATTACCTGTTATGCATGTCGGAATTGTAAAAAATACGACAAGAAAAACGGGGTGATACTTACATTGTGCTCCTGTATAATTTTTCATGCGAGATGAATTACAATGAATTTGCCTTCATTTTAAAGATACAAGTCATATAAATTAAATACATGTTGATTTCGAATGTGATTTGACATTTTTGGTTCTTTTTAGCGCATAATTTGGAGTAGAACAATAACGTCTGAAAATAATCTATTTTTAGTATTTCACACTGTTTTTGCACGTGCTCCTGTGTAAAAATAAGCATATAAAGGTATTGTTTTTAATACCTAAAAATTAAGATCAAGTGGTCAGGAAAGAAATGTCACAGTTTTGAAAATTTCACACAAAGACTTTTCGGACATACATGTAGGTCCCCCCTTAAAACAAAGTATATTTTAGAAGTATTATAAAGTAGTTAATAAAGTAATCAAGTTCAATGAAATTTGGTTCCCTGGATGTGTACAAAAACAAATTACATAATGATTGAATTAAATCAGTTAATTACCGTGTAGCTGTAGATCTGCAGCTCTTTGGTAAGGAAAATATGAGATGGCGACCCAAAGAGCTACAGTGCCCCCCTCCCCACCCCCTTTTCGATTAAAGTTCTCTGTATCTCGATTTTTTTTGCGGATATCTTTAAATGTTACATTTTCTTATGCAAATTTCCACCTTGTACACTCATATATTAACAGGACGTATATCAGTATAAGCAATACCGCGGGTATGCATGCATATGCGATGCGCTAATATGTTCTTTGTCTTGATTATTCAGTCAATCTTGCTACCAACCCTCGGAACAGTGATGCTGTTTTTGATGGAGACTTAAACAATGGCCGTGACATACCATTGGCAAATGTTCTTCTAAACGGAATATTCACAGTAACAGCAGTCAACATTTATGGTATTTTTTCTTCATTGCTCTGAAAAAGGAGTTTTCATTTTTATTTATGCAAACTTCCAGACATAAGGTACATGTACATAATTTTATCAAAAATTCAAATGTTTCTTTTTAAATACCGTAAATCTGGAAATTTTTGCTGTAGATAAATTTTTAGCAAAGGATCACTTCATTATAAATAGGGATCTGACCTATAGGACCGGGCTTGGTTTTATTCTCTACAAAAAGCTTGTCGATTTCCGTTCTGATTAATGACATTAGGCTGAATACATATAACAATTTGTTTTTCCTAAATCTTTATTTCAGTGAGTAGAGATAGGAGGAACCCTTTTTATTGATTTTCTGAGTTTGTTATCTCCAAATGTAATAATTGATATGTCTTTACTTCTCATTGTGCATAAAGTAATGTCTACTGCCTCTGAAATTCTATTCTTAATGTCTAGGCTATTTATCCGTGGATATAATAAAAACTTGTCTTTAATGTGTGCAAATTATAAAGGCCTACATGAAATCCAAGTGAGTGCATTTACTGAAATATGAAGCCAAAATCAATGTGATTAAATTCTAAGGGATATATACAATTGAAATTCATCGCAGCTCAATGCTGCCAGGAATACCTGTATTGAGTAACACATAATGAGTTATTCTTGTCCTCGGAGAAAGTGTGCTTATACTGAGGTTCGTTCCACCTGACTGACAACTGTACATTGGATTGTTACGATTTGATATCTTTTTAGTGTTTCTTATATCAAGAATGGGAATGCATAAGGGATAAACAATCGAAGGAAAAATACACAAGTCTATAATAAAATTTAAAATAGTCTTTAGAAAGGCGAATTTAAAAACTGGAAAAGTGTTGTACCAGGTGGATTCGAACCCCCGACTTTAAAAAGAGAGTATCCAAGGTGTAAAAGTCAGCGCATATATCAATTGAGCTAGTCTGACTATAAGAATGACTGGCATAAATTTAGAGAAGATTTTGAAAATCTGGTTTCCTTCTTTCGGGCCTTTCGTTCACATAAAAACGAACGAAAGGCCCAAGTGAGTGTTTCTAATTAACGTTTGTCTGTCGAGCGCTTGTCTGTTGACAGCCTACAAGACATATGGTGGCTAAGGGCAATAACTCTTAGGCAAAATACGTTATAGGAAAAGGGTCTATTATGACAATTAAGTTTCGTCAAGATTGACATGGCCATCTTTGCTAAATTCTGCTGACAGCATTATAGGTCGAACAATAGCAATGATATCCCAGACCTCGTCCAGGATGAAAAAAAATGATTTCTTTTACAAAAATGTCGTGATAAGTTGGGAACACATAATATTAATGTAAAGTGAAATATATTCTAAATTTAGTTTTATTATATTTTTCATGAAACTATGCGGAAACCTTGCTGAAACTTGGCGTTGAAGTTTCCTGTATGGTTTCCGCAATGCGGAAACTATATAATAGTTTCAGCAAGTTTCATGAGGGTTTCCGTATACTGAAACCATTAGGTTTGTTTCCTAATAGTTTCCGCAAAACGGAAACCAATGTAAAATTTAATGAAACGTCAATTTAACGATACGTTTTAGTTTCAGTAGGTTTCAGTTTCCGGAAACTATTAATTTCGATTCCATATGGTTTCCGCATGCTGAAACCGTACTGAAACTTTTTCTATTTTTTTTTTTCAAAAGGGTAGAAAAATCAACTCATGCATATGATCTTTTTACTATTGATTTCGATTCCATATGGTTTCCGCATGCTGAAACCGAACTGAAACTTTTTCTCTATAATTTTTTTTCAAAAGGGTAGAAAAATCAACTCATATCATCCTTATATTTATTTACACATTTAAAAAAAAATGATTTTATTTTTAAATATCTAATAGTTCATATTCAGATTTTGAGATGTGCCTGCTCTGTGTAAACTTACACATACCGATATTGATATCAATGATAAGCATATTATACAAGATCCTTGCTTCATATTAAATGTATAAAAATTGTTTTTTTTTCATATTGTGTCGGAATTCAAAAATATTATTTTTAAACAAAATCGATTCCTCTCACAAGGATTTTCTACATTACCCAACTCAATACTCCCCCTCGGGAATTGATTATTTTGAAAACATACATCATTTTCACAAAACTACGATTACGTTTAATGTAAAGTTGTTTAAAAAGAAAATTAGTGTGTCTTCATGGTGCATGAAATACAGATAATTACGAGAGTGAACATAATCTGAGATAGAAAGGTTTGCATTTATATTCTTTATACATGTTTCTATCTATATATTCCTTAATGGATATCATTTCAATAATTTCAATTTGTTAATTAACAATACATATTGACTAGGAAGCCTTTTTTTACTATTCATATATATATAGTTCAATAGTTACATGTACTAGTTATTTTTATAATAACTTTGATTTAATATCTACATATATGTATTTTTATTTCCGTCTTCGTGAAAACATTTTATTCGTAAGCCGCAGTTTTACAGCATTAAAAATATTACAAGAAAACATGTCCTGAAAATTTGATGTCATGGTTCCAAGGATTTGCAGCATTTTATGTCAATCTAATTAAAATTAAATCTTCCATTTGTTCCCCAAATGTTTATTTACACGAGGAACTCTTATATGTAAAAAGTCTGCTTTTGTGAAACAATACCCTGGGAGCGAATGGAAAATCTCAAAATTTTAATTAGATTGTATATTATGTGTAGGCTTTTTTTTTTTTTTTAATTTTGTTTTATTTCATATATCTTGATTCGTGATGTTAATTAATGCAAGATCACTGAAAACACGGTATAGTTTTTAGTAATATGTTCAATTATATTCGTATTGAGATGTAATTGTGCTAAATGTGTGATTTAGAACTTAGTTTTTTTAAAAATAAATTTAAAGTAGTCTGTAAGTTGATCAAATTTTCAATTCTTTACATTGAACCCCACTCGCGGGCACCTGTCCTCACGTGCCACAGGTGGGGAGACACGTGTTGCGAAGACACCTGCTACCGTGTTGGTGTATTTTTTGTATATTCTGTGTGGATTGAGAGGTTTTTCTACCTTAGAGGAACAATGGACTGTGACCAGGCGTAATATATACACGCAGTACATGGTATACACAACTAGCCTTTTCTAATGACACCAAGGTTTCTGAACATTCAAAATTAAAAATAAATCACACTATATAAAACTTCACCTAAAATCAAACATGTCATATGTATAATGTGTTATGTAAAATATTTCATAGAATGTTTCATATTTAGCATAAGAAGTTTTTATTTTATGTGTTGGTGATTAAAAGAAAATAGACAAACCTCTTAAATATTTATCTATCAATTTAATATAATAAAATTAATCTATTGGTAAGGAGAATATTTGCTATAGCTAGTTCAACAGACTATTTCAAAAATTTCAATACTATTTTACAATTTCTCCACAAAAAAAATCGGCAATCACAAAAAGAAATCGACAATTAATGGTATTCCTTGTTTGCCACCATTGTAAACTTCAAATATTGAAAATATTTAGAGGTCAATAAAACGCAACCTACTGAAAACTAAGTCTATTTTATTTCATAACTTTTTTCTATAGGTTATTTCTAAAACAACGTTTTATTTCTAATTTAGAGTCCAAAATAGAAAAGTGTGAGATTATTACAATAATAAGGAAAAGATAAGTCAATCAATAGCAAAACAATTATTAAAAGCAATTAAAAATCCTGTATTATAAAGGAATAAAGAAGAATTTACATTTGACATGTGTAAAGGACTATGACCACTTCTATTACATGATATCATTTATATAAATTTGCCTGCAAAATTAAGAGTTTATATCTTCTGTATTGAGTGACCAATATTTTTTGGTCCATCATCTAAAGCTGAGAAGTATGGAGATTTACTATTAATAAACTGAAATATTTTTTTTTTTGGGGGGGGGGGCATGTTTGACGATCATATTTTTTTTTACATGACAATGTTATAAAAACAAAATGAATTTTACATCTACATAATCGATCTTCAGGAGAAATATTGGTAAATCTCCCCACTTCAATTTGTAAGCTGTGACAGGAAATTCCTAGATAACAATAGACTTGTACATTCATGTTGATATTTTCTGAGTAGAAAATTTTCAACAATTGATGAATAATTCTTATAACCCCAATTTTGCTTTTGAGTTGCACATATGTGGTTAATATGCCATCAGCATAACTTTGTTGACTTGTATACCATTTTCTTTTTTCTTTTCTTTCTTTTTTTTTTTAACACAATAATCGAAGTACATGTGTACATGTGACTTTAAATCATTCTATTTGAAAACATTAGGACAGTCGGAGTCCGTTTCAACAATTACCATAATCATGTAATAAAGGTCCGAAATTCGCTTTTTATCCCCTTCGATTCCATGATCAATTTTATTTTATCGTTCAAAACTGTTCATTCTGTTGCCATAGCAGAAGGATAAAACGTACGCTGAACTAGGACCTTAGGTCCCCCGCGCAGTTCACGTCTATCGGGTCTCCGCTACAAAATGTAGTGCGTTGCATATACGTAAAGTGAAAATAGAATAAATCGTAATACTGTGAAGCCTTTTCAGTGTTTAAAAAAACCCCGAAAATTATTTTTGTCAAGGGAAGAACCATCTGTGATGGATATTAGAAAACAAAGAGGGGGAGGGGGGTTGCTGAGCAACATTAACTGCAATATTATAAGATATATGATATATTAGAGTTTAACATTTATGGTTTATGTTGGGTGACCTGTGGTCTCCCCTTTGATTTTATTATTCCTTGTATGGTTATAGTACCTATATAACACAGTGCCAAACCTCTGATCTCCTTACTAATAGTAAGCGACTCAGAGTAAACGACGTACACCAGTCTCTGCATTCGCAGATCTCTAACAAGCAGGGGGCGGGGGGGGGGGTGGTGGTAAAGATTTTGCCCCCTAGCACCCCCTTTTCATTTCGCTCGGACTTTTCACCAATCCTTTAACATAATGGAATAATTTTTTGTTA